GAAAGAATGATCTTGGATCTGAGTGGTGGGAAACGTCGAGTCGGAGCTAAATTCGCGGGAGTAGGGGTAGTCAGCCACGATCATTGAACCGTCATTGAGAAAAGTCAACTTTTACTCATGTTTTATAACCGGTGATTGCCACCAGGTCAGCTGTATGCGACGAACTTTGCATACGCAAATAGTACATGTTTTGGAGATACGTAATTTTACTACTGGTAATTACCGTTCTTGGTAATTACGTTACTCTGTTAGTAAGCTGTCGATCTGCATATCAAACATTCACAGTAATTTTTAAAATATGAAAAAATTTACACGGGCTCATGCAGTTTTGCATCTGAATTTTTCAAAAAAAGATGTCATGGAATTTATTTATATATTTATATTTATGAAATTTGTTTGAAACACAAGAACGTAAGTGGGATTTACCCTTGTGTGATCGAAAATGTTTGGAGATACAGTAGAGTACCCTTTATTTTCCTGGCTCGAGACGTGCCCTTGAGTGAATTTCATGTGAAATCCGAATAATGGAATTTCTCCCACCCCTTCGTAGGGTGCATTGGAGAGGGAAGTTGGGTAGTGGGTGGGGAGAATAGTAGTAGTGGGAGAGAAGCAACATAACCTACGATTATCACCATGTGGCAATCATCCCGTTACTCAGACATTGCGCAGTTCTACGCGCATGGCGTTGAAAACAAGGATGCAGAAGGCATGAAGAGTAGGAGAACTTTTTTGAGGGAGACCAAACCCATAGGAGAAGAGAGGACAAATAATAGAAGCGGAAAATAAAGGGAACTTTGCTGTACATTGGTCTATTGCAAAAACATTGATTATTTCCATGATTGCATCTATTGATTATTTCCATGATTTTTTAATAACATGCATAAATAGTGCATGTTTTGGAGATACGTAATTTTACTACTGGTAATTACCGTTCTTGGTAATTACGTTACTCTGTTAGGAAGCTGTCGATCTGCATATCAAATTGACCTCCCAACGCGGATAGGAATAGGCGCGTGACTATCAGGATTGCTGCTGTTCTTGAAATTATTATTCAAACATAACATATGCTTGAGGAGACAAATCAGTAGTGAAGCGGTAAACCGAGTTAAGTCGATTTTGACTATTAGCCAGTTTTTGCTGAATATCTCGGAATATAAGAGAGATAGCAAAATTTTTCTCATGACTTTTTTTATAACGCTCTATTGGCTCTACAAAAAATGTCATGACACAAATCTTTCTATCTCTTTTAGATTCCGAGATATTCGTCAAAAACTAGCCAATAGTAAAAAACGACTTAACCCGGTTTACCACTTCGCTACTGAAATGTACATTTCCTGTTAAAAAACGAACATCAATTATGTTTTTGCATTATTCTGTAATGACCAAAGAAAAGCGATTATTAGAAAATTAAGCAAACTGATTAGCAGCTCCACACCTTCGTTTACGATCGGGGAAGGCCCAACCAAAGAAGAGTTTTGTTTGGTTCATACTGGAAAGTAGAAATGTTTGAAGAGAACAAAGAAATGAAAAAGAAAGCCAAGCCTTAAATGTTGAATGAATTGTCATAGGGCCGATGTCTATGAGAAAAAAGTTCTAATTCAAATAAGGATTGGAAAAAAATTCTCCATGGCATAGAAAATCAGTAGAAGCAGGATGGAGGATTAGATACTAGACAGTGAAGAACCAAACGAAACTTTTCCATGGCGGTTTTTTTACAAAAACATTTATTTTTGTTTTTTTAAGGAAAATTTCATTATTTTTTTCAAAATAAGTAAAGCATTGATTTCGTGTTCTAAGCAATTTGTTTTTCAAAATTGAATTCAACTCATTTGTTTTTCACAAGATGGAACATATTTCCAGTTAACATTTGAAGGGAAACAAAGCTCGGGATTAATTGTTTCCACCGAATTTTGATTATTTATTCATGATTAACTAACTTAGTTTGTTTCTTCCATTCAATTTTTTTTTCTATGGAAATCGTCTTCTTTTGAGAGATCAATTGAATTCCCTCCAGAAACAGCCAAATAAAATACTGATTGGATGAAAATTTTTATAAAAACATATCGCACGTTTAAAAGCAAAAGGTCGTATGCGCCAGCATATTCGACATTTTGCTTTTAGGAAACCGATCAAAGTGAACCCAAAAAATTGAAATATCTCGAGTTTAGTTATCAATGCAGAAACGACCTTTTTAGTTTTGATGAAGTTAGAAAAATGTCTCACCTAAAAGGAAAAGGTCGTATATCCAATTTTATATTTTGTTTATAGTTTGATATTTCAATCTTTATGAAAAAGTTTCCTCCAATTTTACTCATTTCTCATTACAGAAATTAGAATATCCTCCTAGTCATTGAGAGAATGAGGTATATAATTCCTTTATGCGTCGAATGATCATGCACCCATGAATTCACGATTGTTAATCATCATAATCTGAAGAAGTTTCAAATTCCCTCGAAACATGGTTCAGCACACACAGATAGAAAACGTGGATTGGCTTTAGAAAAATGTTTCTAAATTTTAGAAACAGCGGTTTCTAACCTTCAGTTTTCTAAAATCTAGAACTTTTTTCTAAGTTTTAGAAAAAAATAGTTTAACATTAATCCCCATTTTGATCATTCATTTTAAGCGATTTTTTTCTAGCTCCGTTACTAAATATACTTGATTTTAGAAAAAATATTTTCTAAAATCTAGAGAATTTCTTTTATTTTTGGAGGGAGCATTTTGCAGAGAGGGGGAGATGGGATTGTGAATTGAGAATTGAGAACCAAAAAAAAACTAAGGGAGATAGCGAATTTTTACGAAAATTTTCGGGAGGCGAGATGGTGGCAGGCAGGTGGGGTGCATTAAGAATTCACAACCAGAAAAAATGAGTCCGCGACTTTTTTAAAAATATCTCCAAAACTAAGGGAGATAGTAAATTTTTACTGAAAATTTGGGGAAGAGGGAGGTTTTATTGAATTCTCGATATACTTTATCGATTCTCGATATATATTTTATTGAATTCTCGATTTACAACCCTCGCCCTTCCGCCATTTTTCAGTAAAAATTCGCTGTCTCTTAGTTTGGGAAATATCTTTGAAAAACTCACCGATTCTATTTTTTTGATTGTGAATTCTCAATGCACACCTCTCACCCCCCCAAATTTTCAGTAAGAACTCGCTATCTCCCTTAGTGTTGGAAATATTTTTGAAAACCTCACCGACTCAATTTTTTTGGTTGTGAATTCTAAATTTAGAACTCCCCCTCCCCCTCTTTGCAAAAAGCCCTCTCCTCACATCTGAAATTCCCGATATTTGGGTACCCCTCCCTATGTATAGGGCACTTACGCCCTTTAAATACCTCGGCCGCAATTTTTGAGTTCAATCTGAAAATTTTCTATATAAAAAAAAATTCAGCATTGGTTTAAGGAAATTTTTGTTCTTAAAAACAATTTTCAAAATCTCCCATTTAACCCTCGAGTACAGTCGCGGACTTAAGTTCGTGAACAGCCTGCACTTGCATCCTATGTGTTTTGTTCATAAACTTTAGTACCCGACTGTACACGGGATTCTTGCGATCACTGCTCTGTTGGACCCTTAAAAATGAAGATTGCTTCAGTTCCCTAATTTCGATTTTTTTTAGAGATGCATTCTTCTGTTACAAATACGTAATACATAAGCGTATCTTGAAAGAGTTATACAAGGGGTGATTAGTGCGCAAAAAATGTTTAGAAAATACCAACATTTTGAGAGTTTTTACAATGTTCCGAAATAGACGAATCTGGATTAAAAATGAAGATACACTATTCACACAAATGATGTTATTAAGTTGCCGATATAATTATTTGACCATAAGCAAAGACACCGATAACTTCATGTGACATCAACTGGAATATTAAAGGTATAACTTGTCCACGGAATTGGAAACTAAAAAATCCCAAATTTTGTCTTTACGACCTTTTGCTTTTAGGTCAGTCTCCATTTCTGAGGACAGAAATTAAAGGCAAGAGGTCGTACATGGTAAAAAAAAATTAAAAATTGTCATTAAGACCTTTTGCTTTTAAGGAATTTTTCATTTCTGGGGATATAAATTAGAGGCAAAAGGTCGTATATGCAGCTCAACATTAATCTGAAAATGAAGGTATTATAATAAGTTTCTCCAGTATTTTCACGCAGAATTGTAGAAAAAATGAGTGGAGATATGACCTTCTGGCTTTGAGAAACTCGGAAAGTAGCTTTTTGGCGTTTACGACCTTTTGCTTTTAGACACACGATATGTATTTGTTTTTTTAGAAGATATGGCTTATTTCGTAGAAATAATCATAAAATTGTTTTCATGTTCTTCGCATCTCACCGTAACCCAATTCAGAGTATTTTCCCCCAAAAATAAGCCAAAAACAAAAAAAATGCAACTTTAATTTCCCCTGCAATTTTATTGTTACAGAAGATGTGTCTCAGAAATTCTCAAGAGACGTTATGATTATCCTGTCACCACTTATAATAGACAGAAATTTGTCCACATAGTTGCCACGTGCATTCCTTATTAGCCTCAAAAAGGTAAAAATCGTCATTACCCACGAATAGAAAGAGTAAAAAACAAATGGTAAGAGGGGGAAAGTTAATGAAAAAAAACAGAAAAATCAACAGAATGCGATTCTTACTCTGATTCGAATATCACGTAAGGGTACAACGTAGAAATTAGTCATGTGTAACCAAGGCCAATGTCGTGTTTTCTTATTCGTATCGCAGAGTAAAATGACTCGGGCCATAGTATGCGTTACACAAAGGAAGTGCAGTACATACATTTTTTTCTCATCTGTCGTTTATTTGGTTACGTTGTTCCACCGACAGTTAGGATGAGTAGTAGAGGATGGGGAAGAAATAATGGACTCAGTATGCATGAAACTGTTGACAGAAAACTGTGGAGGGGAAGAACATTGATTTCCTTGGAATCTCGTGTTCTTTCGGGGGCGGATGAATGTATTATTCAAACTTGGAACTCTTCCCCGCTCCTGAGATGCCCCCTTCTGTCACCAATATATTGACCGTGCAAGATAGATTTGGGTTTAGATCTCTTGTGTTTTCCAGTGGTTACACAAAGCGAATTGATCTGGTATTTGGTGAAAATTACGGAATTGACTAAGAGGATGAAGTATTTGAAAACTTTCGTTCTCGCCACATTGGCTACTACTGTAATAGCTAAGGACTTACGTAAGTGATTTTTGTGTAAAAATATTTTCTTCTGAGTGTGAAAATTTTAATCATTAGATGTTTTTAGTAATTTTTTCGGGAGTGCCAGAGGCTAGGACAACGGCTTTATAGAGATTATGCAGAGAAAAAAATGTTTCAGTTTTTACGGATATATCCCTAATTTTAGAGACACTTGATACTACACAAGGCAAAAACAAGGTGTTATCTACAGGGACATGTCACAGATTTTCAGAGATTTTTCACTAATTCTTAATTGATACTAATCAATTTCTTGTGCTGTTATCACTAATTTTCAGGGAAATGCGTTTTTCAAAGATGTCGCTGAATTTCAGAGGCCCATTTCTAATTCTCAGGAATCTATCACCAAATTTTAGTGATTGAAATCACTGAAGATCATCGTTATTCTAGTCAGTGTGGAGTATCACCAAAATTGGTGATAGATTCCTAAAAACTAGTGACGTATGCCTGGAAATCATTATCATTAAGGATTTTATTACTAAAATTTAGGGATAAATCCGGGTATTTTCATTAATTTTATGCATATTCAAATAGCAATATTTCAGTTGTACTACTTTTCGTCTGATGCATGCGTTTAATTTCGGGAATAAAGTGTTTTTTTTTTAATCGGATATTTGTCGAGGAAATTATTATTCCAATAAAATTGAAGAACCATATGATAAATGATTTTTTCAGGAATATTTTTTTATTACACCTTATTTGTTGTATAACATCACCCCATTGACTTGTGACTCTCGACACATCACCGGAATGGACGATTTTGCTTACTGGAGCTAATCTGCTAAATAGTCTGCTAAAAATTATGTTCGTCACTCGGCCCAAAACAATTTTTCTGACACGTGAAAAATTAATATACAGAAATATATATCACTTATATCCGCTTATATGTGGTATACTTTCCGGCAAAAAATGCAATATATGAAATATGTTGGATATGTGTGCACATATATGCCACCGGATATATCTGGCATATATCTGGTATACTAGGTGGATATATTCAAGATATAATTTCGGCAAACCCTAGTAGAAATTCTGATCGGCAGGGCGACAGAAATCGGTGGGCGCGCGCACGGACATTTGATCTCACATAGTGGGTGCGCTAGCGGGGATGTTGCGCCATCAGCCACATGTATGCTATGCGAGAATCGCCCCTGGAAAATCCGGAGGGCGGCGCTCGGACATTTGATTTCTATTAGAGAAATCACTATATCTCACTTATAAGTTTTGGCTTATATTTTTTTCTATGCGGGTCGCCTCGGTCTGCAACCTTCACACTCATCGTTTTCGGCCTTGGGGCGAAAATAGCTATTTCGTCATTAATGACGAAAAGCCCATTCGAGCTTCCGAGCATCGAAAGCCCATTCGGGCTTCCGAATGGTCTGAAATATTACAAAAGTTGATAGCTTTATAATATTAACTAGCAGCAAAAAATTTAGATGTTTACTGCCACCTCCGTAGATGTAATAAAAATTCTAATGTTTCAAACACTTCCTATGAACGGGTATATATATTTTCTGTCCAAATTTCAAGTTCACATCGCGATTTTTGCATAAGCTCGCGCGTTGACAATGTTTTTTTTTAATGAAAAAACAGAAAAACGGGAATACCTCGAAAACACTGTATGAAAGGATATGTATGTTTTGATTGATTTAGATAGAAGACATCGAAACGAATATTTTGAAAGCAAAAAACCGAAATCAGTCCACTAGTTTTAAAGATATTTACGGAAAACTAAAAACGAATTACTTTTTCTCTAAAACTATTAGATCGATCAGGCTGAAATTTTGCACCGAGTTAGTTCAACGATGTTCAGGAGAGAAGTAGGATATTCGAAAAATGCCGCCAATTTCATGAAATTTTTTTCACAGATTGTTTAATCCATTTAGGCCCCCCTTGCAAAATTACAGAACCCCCAGGTTCAGAATAACAATAGGAATGAATTCTAAAGTTACTACGTATACATGAGGTTGAAGGGTGCATCGATAACTCATATATTTTCCCTACATTATCGACCAGTCGACAATATGGAAAAAATACTGAAATTATCGATCACCCATTTAACCTCATATACAAGCAGCAACTTTAAAATTCATTTTTGTTGTTATTCTAAACCTGGGGTTTCTGAAATTTTATAAGGGGTGCCTAAATAGATTAAATATGTGCAAAAAGTTTCATAAAATTGGCTGCATTTTTCGAATATCCTACTCCTCGCTTGAACATCGTTAAGATCTATAATCTGCCAGCATTGCAGATTTTTTGAAGTTATTTTAGTCACTTCATTACTCAATTATGTGGCGGTGGACATGATCACATGCAGACATGGTTGCTAAACTTCGTATTTTTACGTTTCAGACCATTCCACATCATTTCTAAGGAAAATTAGAGAATGTGAAAATTGGACGATTACAATGCTTCTATTCGGAAGCAAAAATAACGCCTGTGTTGATTGAGCTGAGAATAGAAAGCAATGATAAGACCAGAAATTATAGTTTTGGATAAGGCAGAGCAGCTTTAATCGAAAGTAGAAAATTATTCACAATAAATTTTCCATTTTTTTCAGTAGTAATACTACGAGACCTCCAAAATTATCGGATATTTCCCGAGTGTTTTGTTGCGTAGCAACGAGGGAGAAGTTTTGCAGATTAAAATCCCGAACGCGCAGCGCGAGGGATTTTTGTGCAAAACTTATCCCGATCGTTGATACGCAGAAAAACATGAGGGAAATGTTCGATTAATTTTGGAGGTCGAGTGGTATTCGACGGATTATTTTTGGTAATCGGATCCTTCCCAAACCGACTCATTTTGACTTTCTTCATGACTTTCTTTCACTCCACAGGATATTTGACAGTTATTCGATTAGAGAAACAATTGCAGAGCTAGACGGAAATTATCAAAAGTTAGGGGGAAATAACCGCTGTAATTTTAATTGGGAAGTACTCCATGTTATTGAATACTGGATTCTGATTGACCCCAGGGAAGGCCTGATCCGATTACCAAAAATAATAAGTAAAATTGCATTTATTTTTAAAAAGAATGTCATTGCGACAATAGTCTGAAGTTGCATCGCCATGTGGGATTTCGACAAGCAGATTTGAGGGTTAAAATATTCTAGGAGACTGCAGACTGAGAGAGAATGTGCTCCGAAATTAACCCTAGTTGGTCACCCTACGCGACCCAGCGACTTTGGTAACGTCCGCGGGGAAGTACCGCCATGTTATTTAGGCCTGAACGTTGCCAAATTCACTGTACACTGCCCGGGCGCGTTCAGGCAACGTCGCGTAACAGGCACTTTGATTTAACATGGGAAAAAATAATTCCTCTGTTAGAAATAATTTGTTTTTTTTTAGGAATTTTGAGAATTATGTTGTTCTATAACTATTAAAATTTTTTAGACACTCTGATTGGAAAAGTCAATTTTTTTAAAATTTTTCCGATCAGTTAATCAATGGTAATGGAAGAAAAACGACGCGCTGCGGCACTTCCCTCATATGGTGACCAATCTAGGGTTAATTACATGTTTTGCATGCGATATGTAAGAAATGTATGAAATATATCTGTTCAACAAGTCTAGGGAAAAATAGTATAAAGAGTATAAATTTTCGAATCTCGTAGAGCGTTTTTAATAATAAAATGCCCATTTTTGTCAACTATTTAGCATGTCAAAATATGATAAATCAGTAAATATGTACCTCGGAGTGGATGATTTAGCTGCTCTCCAATCGCCGCACGCCAAATCGATTTATTCTCAATACAGTGTACTTCCGTAAACTGTCAACGATTTCCGCCGAAGATTTGGCTCATTATCGACGAGAGGAATCAGAATACTCTTTTCTTCGCGCGTTACATTTATTTCTATTCTGTTGAAGACACTTTATATTCACGAAATTAAATGGAGAAATAATAACGCTCAAACCTGGCGGTTAAGATTTCACGTGGTGATGCAAATTCAAACTATTGCCGCCATGACATTCTTTCAAAAGTTAAATGCAATTTTTTAACTGAAAAAATGCGAAAGTTATTCTGAATGATTTCCTGCTGTTGATTAAAAATTTTCTCAGCTCGAGCGATGCAGGCGTTTTTCAAAATAAATTTTCAAAAAAGCAATTTTGGGCCATTTTGCGGACTTAAAAATTTTTTTTCTCAAAAAATAAGTCCTTTTTTGAGAGTTGGCCGACGGATTTGAAATCAGCGTGCTGATTTCAAATCCGCTGAAAAAGCTTTCGAGTGGTGGGAGTCTCATCCCTGTGTCAAAAACGCCGGAATTTTGTAGGACTATGGGACATTATACATTATACATTAGTGCTATTTTTCCAAATGGGAATGAACAATATAACTTTTACTATATTATACTGTTGAAAATTTTTGTCTGAGTTTTTTTTTATTTATTTATTTTTCTATTTCATTGGTTTTATCGAAGTAGTTCTCGATTTGAAATCCCTCCTCTAGCCTGCCTCCCCTCCTTTACTTTTCATCTCATTGTTATCTGCGGTATCATGGCCGTCTTACTCTTAGCTGTGCCCCATTCGAGCTAGGACTGCACGGGAAACCATGTAAAACCCCAGTCGCACAGCCGTTTGTCTGAATTTAATTACCACTGAAATTTCAAGGAATTTCGTCATTAAAAATTAAAGAAAACCTGAAATATCATGATTTTTTTTCCCCCTAACTCGCATTCAATGTCACTGTCCTCAAATCCCGGTCTGGACTATCCATTTTTTTCAGTCAACATTTTCTGGTTATTCATGTTGAGAATAATCTCGTTTCCCCCTCTACCTCATCCAAATCCCACCAATCATTTCCTATGACGTCACAAAGATGTGGAAAGCTACATAAATTCCCTTCTTTAATGTATTTATAATATTTACTAATATATTATATTATTCTTGTTTGTGTATTTATAACAGAATACTCAAAAATAGTTGTAACCATCTATCTTGCAATCGGTGTCTATCTATTGGTCTACTTACACAGAAAAAATATAAAATTATTTTTGAATGGGGAAATATTGTAATCGAGGACCATATCCGCCACATTCAAATTTGACTGTTGAACATAGAAAAAAATGCGAGCCAGTATAGTAGAAGGTGGTAGAATAAAAAGCAAAATTCAGTTTGGCACGAGTAAAAATTCGTCCAGGATAAATGAAATTTTATAACTGTTTCGGCATAGTTTCGAATACTAAGTTCACATTGTAATTTTTAATTTTCTATTCTCTCCGTGTACCCTATTCAGTACTCCTGCTTCTCAAAATATTCTCTTCTCAAAACCTAAATGAAAACCTAATTGAAAAGAGTGAAATAAAAATAATTATTAATCATCTTTTCGTGTTGGTTTTTGCAGCTGAATTCCTCCACGTCTGCAAACGAAATGATCCAAACATTAACGAATGCATAAAAGCCAGCGTTGAACATCTGAGGCCGTACTTGGTTAAGGGTGTGCCAGAATATCAAATCCCCTCAATTGAGCCTTTGCTCCTGAAGGAAATCGTCGCGGCCGAGGGCGGTGGATTGAAGCTATCCGCCAAGGATGTGAATGCCTACGGCGCCAGTGACTTCTCTGTGACCAAGATGAAGTGAGTAACACACTTCCTGTTTTTATTGCATCATGGAAGTGCTTAATACAATGGAGTATATACATAATTCTATTGAAACGACAATCCAAAGATTCAAACGAATTTTGTATTACCTATGATCTTTTACTTCCGTAGTACAGTGCATTGCTCAGGTCAATAATTACTTCCTTTTCTTGAAATTCAAAACTCAATGCAAATGAATGGACTTGACTGAATTTGTCGGATTTCTGTGGAATAAGACATAATTCCACAGAAATCCGACAAGAATGGTCTAAACTATTGAATAATTCTGCTCAGCGATCGATGCAGTCAGTTCTTAATATTCAAGAAATGAAGTCCAAGACCCTGACATGAAACTCGACACATCGAACAAAAGAGAATCAAACAAAAAACCAATGCTGTATTATGAAGGAGGGAAAAAGGGCTACGATTTCGAGACTTAAACACTACAGCTTATTGCGCAAATCTATCTAAGGCTAGGTGATTCATCAGAAAATGTTATAAAACCTCATTAGTTTTAATAATTTTTGACTAAAATTTTCGCCACATTTCTTGAACATTTTATTAAGTAATGGATTCACTGGAGTTTCAGGAAATTTCGTTATTAAAAATTTATAATTTGATAGAAAAATCACTGGAAACTGTACAATTCAGTTCAATTATTCTATTGTTGACAGATTGAAGGTATTATGGGGGGACCCAAAAAAGTAAAGAATTGAAGGGAAATTGTTCAAGACATGATTGAGTACATTTAAAAATGATATTATATGCAAAATGTCAAGAACTGTATGCGCGTAATAAAAATGAAGAATCCTAAAGTTGTTACAAATACATAGGGTTGCAAGGAACATCATCGCTAATTTCCCCCACGTTGCACGTGGAGAAATAATGTAGGAAAACGCGAAAATTATCGATACAGTAGACTCTCATTATAGTCGCACGCCAGGGGCTGTAGGGGAAGTCGATTCGGCAAATGCGACTATATTTTTCTACCCCCACCATGCGCCCAGTTTTTCGAAAATTTACTGGCAGAGTATTTTATGTTGACGATTTTCTAGAAAGGTGAAACAATAGCGTATCTACGAAAACATCGATGTTTTTATTTTGGAGTTGATAGTGATAAGGAGTGGGGGAAGCCTTCACGCTGGCGAAAAAGCAATCAAGGGGAAAGGCGATTATAACGGGAGTGACTATAACGAGAGTCTACACGGAGAGAAATGTTCAGTAAAAATTACGGAACTCACAATTCACTCACCGATTACGGAATCGTCTCAGACAATTTGAGTGACGGTATCGTAAGTATTCACAGGAGATTCGGATAAAAATTACGGACCGCTCCGAAAAAATTCCGTGACAGTTCCGTAAAATTTCCTACAACCACATTTCGCTCCGGAATTAAGGAAAAGCGAATTAAGGAAAAGATTAATAAACAATTCTCCTAAGCGACAATGTTTTTCACTCAAAAAATCATTGATTAGATGTTCTAAATGTGTCTAAAGTTTCATGACTTTGGCTGCATTTTTTCCTTGGATTTTGCAGTTTTTTTGGTGATTTCCACAATCCCGAGTGGAAATTGCTTCAGGCCCACCTGAAGCACGATCAGAACTTGATCAGGTTTTGGTAAGGTTCGACTGATCCGGTGATTCCTGATGAGAACTTGACCAAATTTTGATCCAGTAAATCGGATCCGAAAAACTGCAGGATGATTCAGATCTAGTTCTGATCAGGTAGGCACGATCTCACCCTGAGGTCGGCTACCTGACCCCAATTTGATCGAATTCCGATTTGATGTCTTTGATCGGCATTTGAACGGGGTCAATTGAAGAGAAAATGATTAGATTCAGATCCGGTCCACCTGACATTAATTTTAATAAGTTTTTCGGATAATTTAATTAACTATTATTATACTACTCAAATTAAGTTTTATCAACCATTCTCAATAATTATTTTCAATCTTTAAAAAGGACCATTGTACTATAATTCAAATAAATTAAATTAAATTCATTAAATTAAATTCATTAAATTAAATCAATTTAATTTAATTAATCAATTTAATTAACAGCCAGCCCTTCTCAAATGTACAGAAGGGAGGGATGATGATGCCGTAAATACGTATTAGAGGAGTATCAAACTTACACGTAAATGATCTTGAGAAAAAAAATCACCTAATGTCTATTTATTTATAAGTGTTATTGTTATTATCATTATTATTATTCATTAATGAAATAAATAAAAATTTAATTGAGCATATTTTATCTCTGAAAATACACACGCACATCCGCGAGATCAGGAATAATTGTAAATTCAACGAATACCCCGATACAAATCATAATAAGAAAGGCGGCCTACGGTGAAAGAATTGATTTTTTTTTTATTAATTATCATTGATAATTTTTATTGATACTGACAGACAGGTCATCCGGTTTTCATACAGTTGACTTGATCAAGTTCGGATCCATTCGTCCTGATCAAATCCGGATTGGTCAGAGGCGTAACATATCTGATCAAGACCGGATCGGTCAACTTGATCAGTGGTCGGGTCTAACCTGATCCAAACTTGATCAAGACCTGACCGGAATTTCCACTCGGGATGATCACGGGTTAAATGACCACTTTTTCAAAAATTCATAATAAATTAACCATGCTCCCCACTAGTCTGAAACTTTGCACACGCTTTTTCCATCATTTAAAGAATACGTAAAAAAAAAAAGAAAAAAATGACTGCTTTTTTTCCAACCCTCCCAGCTCGCTCGATTATTCTTAAGGGTTTGATCACTAACTAGATCATTCTCATAAACTTGTCAGTTTTAAGTTAAATGGAGACGCATCGATTAAAAAATACAGTTGAATCGGTTCATTTCATTTGCTCTGGGGAAATTTTCGGGTGCCATCCCTCCATCACCCTCTAAAAACTCATTCCGACTTTCACGAGAGAGAGTTAATTCCAGTGGCAACATTTCTAAAATTCGCCATCTTTCTTAGTACCCCCCCCCCCGTATGTATGAGGCTTCCCAAGGGGACCTCATACATATCATCGACAATGTACATCGAGAATTTAGAGACAAATCGGTTTGCATCAAACCAAAAAATCGGTCTGAATCAAATCGAAAAATCGGCTTGAATCAAACCGAAAAATCGAATTAAATCAGACCGATATTCTGGTTTGCATCGGTCCGAGTCCGACTTGATTCATGCCGTCAATTCGACATGAAACAAGTTGATTCCCGACAGGATTCAGTCCGACTTTATTCAGACCGATTTTTCGGTCTGATTCAGACCGACTTTTTTTGGGTGAATAGACGAAAATTTTGCAATCATGAATGATCTTGTAATAGAATTATTATTATTGTGTGCTGGGACGAAAAATTTCCGAAGCCAGTAAAAGTTTTAGTGGAGAAAAGAATTGATTATGGCCATGAAATGGAGAACATTAACAAAAATGATTAAACTCACGATGACCCGAAATATCACACGATCGGTTAAAATAAAAGTACTCGAAATTTTCTCCCAGATAAAAATAATTACAATTAAAATAAATAAATTCAATAAAGAATCAACAAAATTTTGGTTCATTTCATGTGCCTTCAAATTTATTATTATGAATAAAGATTGGAGTTTAGATTGATATTTTTAAGACAATATTTATAGATATTTGAAGATTACGCAAAATCCCATAAGAAACAGTCAAATAAACGCTCATTACAAATATTTTGAATAAATCGAACAGCTCAATGTCAGTCATATTAATCATTAAATTACGCGGTAAAACTAAGTAAATCTATATTTTATAATAACCCTCGGATTTATTCCTTTTTTTATTCATCACAAAACCCAAAAGAGTCGTCACTCATTATATTATTTAATTTATCAAAAAATATGTGCACTTTTAATTTATCACACGAGATCAGAGATTATAAAAGACAAAAAAGGCTCATTTCCTCAATTATAAATTATTCGTCTCAGAGAAAAAAGGTTGCACTGAGACCAGTGACAGTAAAAATTTCTCATTGAATATGGAATATTCGAGAAATTATCAAAATCGAAATTGGGTACCCATAATATACAACTGTCACTGTACTTATCTGTTCGGTGGCCACCGGAGGAAAGAGAGCGAGTCCTGTCTCTCGTGTATTAAGAGCCTCATCGTTTGATTCGATGAATCACCGATAATTCGGTTTTTCTCTTTTCGTTCGTGAATACATTAGATCTCTTCCTTTTCATTTTTCGAGGTTTCAGATTTCTATTTCATTTTAAAATTTTGAAAATTTAATCATCCTACAATCTAGAATTTAATAAGGAATAATTCTTTTTAAAGCGCTGACATGGGATCACTCGTATACCTTTTGGACGTCTTCCTCCCTCACCTGAGTATCGACGGCCAGTACGAGATAGACGGAAAGGTTCTGCTGCTGCCAATAACCGGGTCAGGTCGCATTATGGGCAATTTTACCGATTGCCTCGGCGCTGTCAAATTCACCGCGGAAACGGAGACTGTGGACGGCGTTGAATACTTCCGCGTGAGGGAATTCGAACTCAAAATTACTGTCGGCAAGGGCACATTGAGGTTGGACAATTTGTTTGGCGGTGACAAGGTCATCGGGGATGTTGTTAACAACGCGATCAATAATAATTTCGATGCTTTTCTTAAGGAGCTCATGCCCGTTGTTGAGAGAGCTTTAGGCAGAGCCTTCCGCGATATTGGACAAACTATTGTTAATCAATTCACCTACGATCAGCTCTTCCCTCTAGATTAATCGCGTTTTGACTCGCATGTTTTTTAATTTCGAAGTACAATCCAAAATACATACAACAGTAATGAAGTAGAAGAATGAAATGAGTCAATGCACTAGGTAAATTTCATTTTAAGATCGGTCTTTGCTGAATATCTCTGAATTTATAGGGTGACAGATGGAAGGTGTCGACAGTAAATTGACATATTTTCATTTCTTGGGACAGGAAAAAAACCCCATTTGAACCCATTAGTTCCTGCAATTTATTTGTAGTTGAACTGAATTGGCATGAGAATTTTCTTCGAGGGGCTACTTACTCAGTAATTAAGGGACACCATGATTTCAAAATGAAGTCGATTTCGGGTGATTTCAGCGATGATTTCAGTGATTTCGGACACAATGATTTCAAGCGTCACGGGAGGAGATTTCATGATTTCAAATGATTTCATTAATTCGAAATCAGTTATTTCAGAAAAATAAAGTTAATAAATAATAGAGGTGGGGCAAAACGGGTTATATCAAATTATGAAAATCTAAACTGGCAATAATAAGTGGCAATTAAGAACGAATTCGTTTGATTCCACTCCACCAATTTTGAGTCAATGACGATGAAAAGGGGTCCATTTCACCATTTTAGTATGGCAGTGAGTACGACATTTTATTATCATTCTTGGCAAGCGTGTCAATTTCAAAATCACGAATTACTTGCACAGTTCGTATGGCGCCAGTGATTTCGGTGATTTCATTGATTTCAGACGATTTCACGTGATTTCAGAGAGCTGAAATCACTTTATTTCAGTGATTTCAATGATTTCACGTGTTTCCGTGATTTCAATGACTTCACGTGATTTCAGAGTGATTTCAGAATGATTTCATGCTAGAGTGGCGCCGTGATTTCGGAAGTGAGTAGCCCCTCGATTTTCTTGGGGAAATGGATGATGCTTTCAGAGTCGCAAACTGAAATGTATAGAAAGTCAATTTATATAATTTTTTTTCTTGATGCATAACAGAAATAATTAACACACCTATGGATAGAGCGAGCTCTGCAACTTGATTTGCAATTGATTTAGATTACATGACAATTTTCCACTTATGGGATAACCATTCATGATTTCCCTTCAAACGATTTTTATCATGTTATGAAGATGACAAATATTATCAAATGTCATTCATGCATGTGTTCATTATTCTTGCCTTGAATCATGGAAAAAAATGTATAAATATACTTATTACACATTACCGCCCCCCCCTCCCCCCGTGAGAGAGATTGCGAAATTAGATTTTCAGAGATGTTCATAACAATTTTGTATTCTCGCGTGAAGTCTGGGATTTATAGCCAAAACTGATGTTAGAATGAAATTAGCTCGCGTACAATCAGCGATCGGTCGACAATCATTACATTTGTAATATTTTTCAATATTATTAGAATTTGCACCTTTCTATTACTGTGGTTATTTTATCTCAATTGAAATTTGAAAATAATGAAATAATTCATAATCTAAATTTTCTATTAACTATTGAGTAAATAATTCTAAATTTCATAAAAGGATTTTTTCGAGTAGACATGTAATGGTCAATCTTCTAACACGATTACTGGTTGATGGATTATTTCGGAATTTGAATATTCAATTGATGATTAATTTGGTAATTGAAAATTGTTGCGTAATATTATCAGTTAACATAAACTAAATTTAACTTATTTTGAAATTGATGACTGTTCCGATCCCTGCTTACAATTTTCTCTGGATATCTCTCAATTCAAGGTAGAAAAGCAAATTTTTGGAAGAAAAGCCTTCTTTTAGAGTAAAAGAGTATTCACAACAATCGAAAGAATAATTTTCTATTGCACTTGGAGACAGATATTCAGCGAAAACTGATCGTGGAGTTGAGTTGATTCAGTTGGTGCTACTGCTTCATTGCATAATGGGGTCGACATGCGGAGAAAAAACTGAGAAAAATTACGTGACAAAACGTTAAAGTGAGATGAAATGCTCTTTCGGGAATTGTGACGTGAAAACACTCAAAAAAGTCGACCGGATAAAAAATCCTGCCTCTTGAGTTGTGGAAATTTTATGGATTGAAAGGTAATGTTTACATGTTGAAATGTAAGTTTTACGTTACACTCCATAAGAATTTACGCAGGAGATATAGATTTCTGAGAAATAGGAGCAATGCATCACAATTACGGTAAACAACGTAATTTTTACGTCATTTCTATGGTACTGTTCAGGGACCGTTTTTCTCCGTGCAGGCCTCATTGTTCATCATATTAACGATTCTAATTGTAAATTGTTTGAAAAAAAATTATACGGAATGTGTACCAATTACCCATCCTAAACCCATTCATCAATGTTGTAATTTTTTTTTTGAAAAAATTATTTGAAATTGTGACGAATGATCCCTTTAGCCTAATTTCATGATTATAACGAGTGAAGTTTTGATTTTTAATTGATTCTTCTTCTGAGTGAATTACCAAAATTTTTTCAAATACAGAAATTTTGACTGACTCCACCGGAGGACCTCGACATTGTATTTTATTAGAGTAATTTATAGGATGAGTGATGATTAATGAGTAATAAAATTATGTTATTATGTACGATGGCTTCTTTATTTATACCTCAAAGGTTTTATTCATCTCGTTTCGAAAGACATTCCTTGTAAGAAATTTTCTGTATTATAGAAGAGGTTTTTTTTCCGATATTATGTGTGAACTTACCAGTGCACCTTTTAAAAATACATTATGTGCATTGTCCACAAGAATGGTCTTTTGATGCAGTTTTTCAAACCGACCTCTTGGAAGTCGATTTGAATGAAAATTGGATTCTCGAAAAAACATCCACTTAAACCGTTTTATCTCTTCACTTCTTCTTCACCGAAACAATCAAAAAACTCTTCAGCATCCGTTTCTTTCATCATAAAAATGATAATTATTGCAATTACAGTCTGAAGAATATGGAACGGGGAAGTTGGTTGATCTTAGATCCATCATGAATAAGGAAAAGGTAGAATTACCGTGTATCACGCAAGGATAACAGGCTCACCGAGAACTCACCAAGGCCGAGCATTAATGCATGAGAGACATTGTTGATTCACTTTTTTTCTCATTTTATTTCCTCTCTCATTTATCACTAATGAATCTCCGAGGCTGGGGTAATTGCTCTCCATTTTCGACTGCTGTTTGTGCACAATTGTTTTTTTTTTTGTATGAGAATTTTTCCCATCGAAATTTCAGCTAATAGAATTGTACTATTCGACTGTTATTTTCTACATATTGTCAATACGATATTCAACTGATATTTTTTAAAAATTCTACTGATAATTTTTTATATTTCCCGATAGCTTCGTTGCAAACAAACGAAAGTGTCAAGTTTTGTAGGCTAAAAATCCCGAGTGCGCAGCACGAGGGATTTTTCTGCAAAACTTGACACTTTTGTTTGTTTGAAGGGAAACTTGAGGCAAATATTACGATTAATTTTGAAAGTCGAGGGGTATTCGGCGGAGAATTTTCCGGGAGTGGATTTTGGCTAAGCGGAGCGCAGTATTCGAGGGCTTTTTCCAGCAAAACATCCAATTGACTGGCTGTCATGGGGGGAGGATCTCGTTTTGTTGGCATAAAATTAATTCGAAATTGGATTAAATAAAATAATGAAGCGAGGTAAAGAAAACGACTGTAACATTTTTGATTCACATGGTTCGTTAACTCCAGAAGAAATATCTGTTCTATGGAATGTTAGGTACAAAGCTTCTGTGATCAAATATAGTCAATGAAATTAAAAATATTGATAATAAAAAAATGGTCTGAATCTATATGAATATTGCTATTATAGTTGAAGCTGTGAACTAAAGTTTATCATTAAAATAAATTGTTGAATTGAGAGAGAGAAAAGAAATAATATTTTTCATTTTATCGTAGCCCAGTTCTCGGAAGTCGGGCTCGGCGTGAGCGCGTAGTGGGGGCAGGGAAATAGAGTCGAATTCTCCGAAATCGCTTCCCCTATCCCGCAAAACAGTCGACTCTAACCAGAGTCCACTGTATTACATAGGAAAATTTTTCAGCAGTAAAAATTGTCACGATTCGTGGGAATCGCGCAGTTATGATGATGAATATCGTGGAGTTGAGAGTAATAATGATTCAACTGTTTTTTTACGTTTAGAAATGTTTTTATAAATGAAAAGAATCAATGTAAAAATGAGAAAAACTCGCTTTACTATTCTCTATTCTATACAATATGTACAATAGAATTTTCGTGTAATTTACGTTGAAAATTCGGTTTTAAAATGAACAATTGCCACAACCGTGCACAAACCACAATAAACAAATCTATTCGCGGTCCGGGAATAGTTCTTCGAATGTGAAGTTCTTGCAGATTTTATTGGCAAGCTCTAGAATTTTAGCTGAAATTGACTTCTCCAAACTTGGTTGAATTCCACTGATGATTTCTTGACGATTTGAGTTGAGCACAGCGTTAATTGCTTCTCCGAATGTCACATCAGGGCCTCCAGTAGGTACAAATTTGGAGACGTAGTCTTTGATATCGAGTTTTAGAGACATTGTATTGAAGTACATGCGTCGGCCCTTCTTTGTGTTCACTATTTGGTATTTTAGAACTGCCTGACCGGAGACGCCACCTAAGGAACATAAATTTTATTAAAAATGAGCACCATTGTTAGCCAAATAAATCATCAGAATGAATTTATGTCTGGCGTAAATTCAGTAGCGAAGCGGTAAACCGAGTTAAATCAATTTTGGCAAAATGTCAATAAATGTTTTTTCTGGCGGAAAATTTGAAAAATAATCTGACAATTTGCCAAGAAATGATGTGAAGATTATTTCCAAATTGCAAGTGCTACGAAAAAGTCTCGATATTTCTCGACGATACTAGCTTTAGAGATATTTGGACAATTGTTTCTGACGGATGTTTCACGGATTTTAAAAATAAACATGACTAAAATGAAGACGTTTAGAGATGAATATCAAAAATCATTTTTTCAGGAGACAAAATCCCTACCGAAATATTTTACCAACTACCAAGAAAGAATCATTGAATAGAACATAGAAAAATTGATTACTTGTTTCAATCTCGACGGGTCCCTTAGCATTAATCGGTACAACAATTTTCGCTGCGACATCATAATCTCCCTGAAGCCTTAGTTTCTCAAAATGCACCTGCAGATCAATCTGCTGCTTATCGAGATCAACATTGAGGTTGTCCAGAACGAAATTCGGAATGCCATAGAGCTTGACATTACGAGCATAAGCCTTGATGTCAGGAGAATCTACTAATGGTAATCCTTCTGGCAAGAAGAATGGCTCCACTGATGGCACATCCAACTCTGGCATTCCCTCAGCTATTTTTCCTCGCAGTGATTCTACGCTGTTCCTTACGCATTCATTCAAATTTGAATTTTTGCGGCCGCAAACCGTAATGTAAGAAGCTAAAAATGAATTGAAAATTCGGAAAAACTAATGAACAGAACGTAAAATCACAACGGAGATAAGAAGAGAAAAGGATGAAATTATTAAAAAAATGAAAAAAATTATCGAAAACTCTCGAAACATTGTTAAAAATACTTACGAACTTCTCCTAGAGTCCATCCACTCAATAAAATAACATTCGCACACAATAAAATAATTTTCTCCATTGTCTCTCTAAAAAATGAATGAGTTATGTTATTGGTGCAGGAGTTTAAAGAGAAACTGAGAACGGCCAGTCTCAGTCTCGCCTATATACCATCGAACACAGTAATTTCATCGACATCATCACCGATTGAATCATTTATCAGTGTATTTCAGGGCCAAGGCCTGGAATCTACCTATGGGTGCATGCGCAGATTTCTCCCACTACTCGAACCCACCCCACTATCGCCTGCATACTCCATTAATTCATTAACACGCCAATAGGCGGAACTAACAGGTTTATTATTTCTTGTTCACTCGCTACATTACATCCCCATTCTTCATTTCTTCATTTATCATTCATTATTCAGCAGTTCTACCAGTTCTAGGTATAAAATACTTCATTAAAAGTGTTCAAGGTTGTGTGAAGTTTTTTCATCAAGAAGTATAGTTCAACAAGAAAAATGAGTGTTGACCCATCGCTAACTGAATATTTAGCGGAGTTAGTGGAGAGTTCGCCGGGAGCCGTCAAGCAGGGCAGACGTGTCTGTTCCGGTTCAGTGTATTCGACCATAACCTTTGCAATTCTTTCCTATTCGCCTTGCTTTTTCTCCTTTCTTTATTTCAATAGCGAAGCGGTAAACCGGGTTTACTCGATTGTGACTTTTGGCCAATTTTTGATAAATATCTTGCAATCTAAGAAAGATAGCAAAATTTTTTAATGACCTTTTTTATAACCCTCAATTGGCGTTACAAAAAAGGTCGTAACAAAAATCTTCCTATCTCTTTTAGATTCCGAGATATTCGTCAAAAACTGACCAATAGTCAAAATCGACTTAAGGTACTTCCGCAGTAAGTATACTTGGTGAAAATTTCGAAATGGTATAAAGCCGCAATATTTGGATCATATGTTGTTGACCACATTAAAAAGATATTCCCAAAATTTCAAGTCCCTGGTCCACCCCATTTTTGAGATATGCATCGCCAAACATTCAATATTTGTTTTTTCCATTTTTGACGATGTATATCTCGAAAATGGGGTGGATAAGGTACTTGAAATTTTGGAAATAGTTTTTGAATGTGCTCACCAACATATGATCCAAATATTGCGTCTTTATACCATTTCGAAATTTTCACCAAGTATACTTACTGCGGAAGTTCCTTAACCCGGTTTACCGCTTCACTACTGATTTTAATTTTCATTTCCTATCCTTTCCCACTTTACAACAAGCAGGCGTTCGAGCCTATCCGACAGAAGGCGTCACCGAAGGCACCGTTACTTTTTGTGTTATATTAGTCTATTTCTTTCTTTATCTACCAATTCCATTAGTAGTAAGTTTTCGAATGGATTCGTAACAATTCCTTGTCCTTGTGACAGGAATATAACAGTAACCACAGGCTACAGAGTGTCTACAGGAAGATATTCAACCTTGTAATGAAATAGATTTACACAAGAGATTAAATATCTCCGAAAATGCTCGGCTGCTTGAAGCCATCCGAAATATCCAAAATACCGTCAATATTATAAGAGCGACAATCATACCAAATTTCAACTTGCTAACTTCGTTTTTTCTCAAAATATGGTGCGTACAAGAATGAAAAAATTTTAAAAACGAAACAACGACAGTATCTCGAAATTTTTGTACAAACGGTTTTGTACAAGTTTATAAAGAATATATAAAAAATATAAAATATAAACATATATTTTATATATTTTTTGTATATGAATTGGGCCAAAATTTAAGATATTTTTTAATATATTTTTCAAAATATAAATTTTTCTGTGTAGGTTGTTCCTACTGTTACTATAAAAAATGAGAGGTCCAAATAGTGGTGATTCCAGAGTTTATCTAGAGGATCATTGAGAAGTAGCTATTTTTCAATGGTGTACGTGATGAAATGATCGTTTACGCGATTCGTTTAGTTATATTATTATCCATCGAAGAAAAATGGATCATATCAGAAGTAAAATTTAGAATTTTTTGCAATAGTGAACAGAAATTTTTTTCAATTGATGAAATTAGTCACTCAACTCGTTTTACGGGTTATAGATATCATAGTTCATACAAAAAATTTGAATTTTTATGCAGTTTATTAACGTTAATAACAAATTCAATGTTGAGCACTCAATCAACCATCCGGGAGCGATATGTTACAGCAGGGCAGTCACACTAAGCTGCCCACGTGCGAGAGAGACGGTGCACATCGCCTCAGCCGGGTTCCGCTGAGAGTGAGTGAGAAACATGGCAACTTCCCTGTTGCGAGGTCACAGTTTACTTAAGGATAATCGGGCGAGGAGGAAATGTAGGAGGTGAGGCGGAGGGGTTTCTATTGTTTTCCTGCAGAAAACCAATCGCTGAACAAAAAAATTTTTCCCATTCGGATTCAAAATTCAGGCAGTATTAGGGAGTATCTCCGGTTAAACATTATTTTTGGAGCTAATCAAATTTATTTATATCTGTTCCACGCATTGAATGGTTTTCAGATTGTTTTTTTTAAATAAATGAAAAAATATTAATCCATGCGAAAAAGTGGCAACATCGTCGGTAGTGTTTTTCTTTTTCACCAGGCGCTGGTACCACTGGCTCGAGGGAGCTCCAATCACAACGCTTCATCGCTCTCTCTCAAGAGACGTTTAAATTGACCGCGCTACCCCCACCCGATCGGTACTTGAGACGTTGCTGCTCATTTGGGCTGCGTGCGCAGAAATTTCATTTTTCAGTACTTTTTTCGCTATTATTAATAAACAATGCTCCTAGGCGACAATCTTTTTCACTCAAAAAATCATTGATCACATGTTCTAAATGTGTCTAAAGTTTCATGACTTTGGCTGCTTTTTTTCCTTGAGTTTTGCAGTTTTTTTTGTAATTTCCATAAGATCACGGGTTAAATGACCACTTTTTCAAAAATTCATAATAAATTAACCATGTTCCCCAGCAGTCTGAAACTTTGCACACGCTTTTTCTATCATTTAAAGAATACGTAAAAAATGAAACAGAAAAATGGCTGCTTTTTTTCTAACCCTCCGGGCTCGCCCGATTATCCTTAAGGCCTCCAAAAAGTGTACTTTTTACGAAAAAAAATATACTTGAATATATTTTATTCTCGAATCGAGAATAATACACTTGGGTAAACCTGAATTGTTGAACACAATTCAGGTTTTTGCCCGTGTTCTATCAACAATGTTGAGCGGGGTAATTGACGTTATAGTCGTATTAATTTTATGTTGACCCCAAGATTTTATCTACATCAATCTTTTATCCGGTACGGCTGCTAACGACGAATTATCCGAAAACAACAGAATAAAAAGTCTAAGGAACGGAATTGCAGCAATCAACCACAATTCATTCCGACTCACTATATAATTGATAAATAAAATGTTCATAAAATAATTTACAAAAACTGCAGTCTATGTCAATAGCTATTGCACTTGATAATAACTTGATAATATTAAATGGATATTTTGGTTAAAAATGAGAAATCAGAACAGGAGGATAACTCTGAATAGAAGGATTTTCAAAAAAATCTTCATGAAATAAAAAATTCAATAGAGACAGGATCAAAGTTCTTGCGCGGATCAGCAGATACAGATTGATACGAGACAATGAGTTGGAAAACTCCGCGCCAAGAAGTTGAATCCTGTCTCTATTGAATTTTTTATTTCATTGAGATTTTTTTGGAAATCCTTCTATTCAGAGTTATTTTCCCCACAATCATCTGATACCACACTCCATGATCCATTGGACATTTCTTGACTTAGCTATGATTTTTATTTCGTTATTTTTTGCAAAATTTCTATGAGAATTGTGGTTCGCAGAAAAAAGTGCTTCGCCTTTCCAGAAACGACCCCACAAAACTTTTTCTTGGCGCAGTTTTTTTGCAAAAACATTTGTTTTTGGTTTTTTGGGAGATTTCAGTCATTTTTCCAAAACGAGCACATGATCATTTTCGTATGAATCGAATTTATTTCTTTCCGCGGAACAGAAACTATTTTCAATCACTTCTGCTCTAAGAAAAAAAAGGTATTTCTTTACTACATTTATTCATAATTTATACTTCGATTCGATTTGAGAATTTCATGGGAAAATCAAATGTTCAAATTACCCGCGTGAACTAACATCAGAAATAAACTCGCCCACATGTTATTCACGGACTAAGTTGAGAATCTAAATTAATCGAGGATAGGGGAAAAATTTCCATGCAATATACAGCGCTACGTGACCTTGTTCATCAATTTTTCATTAATTTTCATAATAAGTCGATGATAAGTCTAAAAAATGTAAATCAGTAGATTTCAAGAAGGAGAGAGAAAGAGTAATACGCTCTTAAAATCTCCCTTCTCCGCACGTGAGGTTGGAGTGCACTGTTACCAACTTCGAAAACTAAATCTCACACTTAGTGCTCAGAGATAATGTGAAATGCGAGAATGTGTAATTTCCTTAATATCCCGAGTGGAAATTCTGTTCGTTTTGATCAGAAACTGATCAAGTCCGATCCGAAATTCTGATCAGGCGTGTTACGCCTCTGCCTTAGGTTTTTCCACTAGGGTTTCTCCGCCTTCCATCATTAGGTATTAATTAAATTTAATTTTTGGAGAGAAAAAATTAGTAACTTCCTAGCCGGGAATCGAACCCGGGACCTCCCAATGTCGCGTCGGGTGCTCTTACCATCTGAGCTACCAGAACACTTACGAATTTCACTCTCAAATTGACTCATACCCGAGTGGAAATTCTGTTCAGGTCTTGATCAGAAACTGATCAAGTCCACTCCGAAATTCTGATCAGGCGTGTTACGCTTCTGCCTTAGGTTTTTCCACTAGGGATTGAGTCGAAAAAGAAAATAGTGACATCAATGGAAAGCTCGTGGCCGATTTATGTGATGTAACTAAGGCTATTTTTTTCGTAGGTTAGCACGTTTTCATTTTATTCAATAAATGTATTTCGGTGGTAGTGGAGTGGGTAGTTGCTTCGTGCATAGATACCCGGTAGCAAGCGGCGAGTTTCAAAACTTTTCTTGGCCGATACGCTATCGCGTATCTCGATAATACAATTGTTCAATCGTAGGCGAATCACCCCAACAACATCAGCAGACATTAGTGATGTAGGGAATAGGTATACTATGACATCTAGATATATATCTATAAATACGAAATAGAAATTTTTTCATTTCTATTCTAGTCTCCATTAATGTGTTGCCTTCGTTAGTTTCTTCTTCTGTGCAGAATAATGTCTTGCGTAAATGTAGATTCGACTTCCCATTAAAATTCCTAATAATTAACGCTAGAGAACGGAATATTATCTTGCTCTGCGCAAGGAAAACGACGGGATATACCTGGTGAAGTGCTCATACGAACCTCCGGCTAATTACTTGCGATCTCAGGTTTTCCGCAGTTTCCTTTTTTTCCGTGCGGTTAGACATTTTTTATCAAAGGAAACGCCCAAAAAAGCTGCGAAAGTTTTCAATAAAACCGGAGAAAACCCGATAGAATTCAACAAAAAAAACTAATAGAATTTTAAATTGAAGTTCAGTGGAAATGCAATACAATTTTTTACCAAACTCACTCGGTTTTTTAATGAAATTTTTTTCGTGCAAGAATACTCAGGATTCTTCGCCGAACATCCAATATTCGCTTTGAAACAGGTTTTCCCAGTCACAAAATAGAGATGACAAGAACCTTTTTTTTATACACAATAAAAACAATTGGAAAACTTCTGGTGATCCGCAGATATAGGGGGAAGTATTCCAATAAAAAGTTGCCTTGACGTACAAGGGTGACCCTTGTGCGTCAGGGCAACTCTCATATGGTTATTTACGCAGGAAAAAAACCATCAATGAATTCGGAAACAATGAGCCATCAACGTTTCCAATTTTTAGCAGGCTCATCTCGAAGTTTTCCCCGAGATTTTCCAGTATAATTTCCATGTATTTATTCACATTTGCACTCAGCGCTAATAGAGATGAATAAAAAATTGTTGAATGACAATTATCAGGTAAACTCGATACATTCATCTCGGATGATTGGGAAAAGAACCAAGTGATGACAAATGGTCAGTATCAATTGATCGATATTTTCCTGTTGCGGGTTCATATTGCGCTGATTTATGTATTCAAATTACATGCTGATGCTAGAGCAATAGTTCAATGTCTATTCCAATCAATTTATTTCCAAAAAAATCATCTTCAGAAGCTCATGGTTACGAAAGAGAAGGTTAAACATGAATGATAATCAAGTATTTATTACTTTAGAATTATTTTCTTTAAAAAAAGAATATTTATAAAAAAATATCCCATCAAAAAATATTTCTTTGAGGTTTTAAACTGCACCAGAAGAGCCAAAACATTTGATTCGAATCAAAGTGATGTTTTACTCTCTGTCTGGCAGCAATTGGTCATATGTGAATGCTTTGCTAATTTTATTCGCAACGTCAAGGATCTTTTCGGAAGTTGCTTTTTCAATGCTGGAAGAAATACTGCTGATAATCTCCTGCTTGCTACCATTTAGTACACTATTAACAGCCTCAGCAAGTGTGGAATCTTGTCCCTGTGTGGTAATATAACGAGACTCATAATCACCGATTGTGATTTTGCACTTCATCGATGTAAACATCATGTGTGGGCCATCTTTTCTGTTCTTAAAATCGAAAGTCAGTGATGCTTTGCCTAAGATATCCTCTGCAAAATACAAAAACCCATTAAAGACCCTAAACTTTATTCACAAAATTGTCTTAATGATTCAATTTTATCTCACCAGCATCGATAACGATAGGTCCAACAGCATTAATTGGTACGATGATCCTGGCACTAACGTTGTAGTCACCTTCGAAGTGCAGTTTTTTGAAGTATAGGTCAATATCAAGAGTCTTCTTCTCAAGGTTGAGATCATTTTTTCTTATCTCGAAGTCGGAGACCCCGTAAATTTTGACATTTCTCGCTGTAGCTCGGAAAGCCTCAGATTCAGCTATGTCGATTCCTGCTGGAATCTCTAATGGCTCCACTGATGGGGTTTCAAACTCTGGCATGCCTTCGCGTAGTTTCGCGCGGAGGGACTCAACGCTATTCTTCACGCACTCGTTCAGTTTTGGATTCTTGCGACCACATATTTTCACGTATGAAGCTGGAGATTCGATGAAATTATTGTTATGAATGGGGACCACTCATGAGTGGGGAGATGGAGGACAGGAGGCAAGTGAACGCATTATATTGAAATTATTCTGCGAATGTCGACGAAAGAGGTTTGCAAATTTTTTTCTGAAGAATTTTGATGAACCTTTTCTTTATCACGATATTTTTGAATCTTTGCGAATTTTTCCAAGGGCTTTGAAAATTTATGAGAAGCCCTTTTTGTCGGAAATCTAGCTCCAGGGATAGCCATATTCATAAATCATAATTACCATTAAGGATGTTTAGCCAGTGTCGGTAAATGTGTTTTTACTTCCGAATGGAAGCTTTAATAAAAATAGAAGGTAATATGTACAATCATACTGAACCTAATGGCCAGAGAAAAATCTGGGGTACCCGGGCACAAAGAGGAAATATTAGAATGATTCTATCTCGTATAAGTGCGTGTTAGCACATGCATTTGGTGCATTTTGTCTACTTCATTTCTAAATAATGAACATGGGTTGGGGGATTGAAATTTGTATCAAAGTGAAGGGAATATCTTCATCTCTCAGTTTAAAAAAAAACAATTTTTTTAAGTACTTGCGATTTTGAATAAACATCCTTAAATTTTGAAGCCGTCAGTTAAGATCACTCTTAAACTTTTAATTATTCAAGTAATCATCAATTTAAATATTCAAATTTTAACTATTTTATTAATCAATAGTTTAGGTAAGAATATTGCGGATTATTTGATTAATCCATAATCTCTTTTAAAAAATTAGAAATAGTTACTTAATGGAAAATTTACACTTATACTATATTACCAAATATTTCATTCATCATAAATCGGAAATTTAAACTACTAATATTTTTTTATTTTGATGAGTATATTTAAATATTTATCAGTGTAAGTCGCAAATCCTTTTAATATTGAAGAAATATAATATTGATGGCCATAGCTGCCTAGCTCTCGATAAACAATGTTGAATTCATCAGAATCTCTCCCTTGTTAAATATGCGCGGAAGAATCTGGATTAGGGGGACCTTTAGGGGGCTCCGAATGATGCACGCCCCTTAAATCGGTTCCAAAAAAACGGATAACATAGATGGCCCAGAATTTTTTGTCATAATGCGACTAGAAGTGATGCCAGTAAAAGCGAACTATTTTTTTTCCTATTTGAATAATATGAAATTGCGCGACTCTCTCGGTCTTGATGTTTTAATAGTTCGGTTTTCAACGATAAAAATTCATACTCAGCGTGAAATTTATGATCAACAGTACTACTTTCCACCATTTTTTTTTATAGAGCTCAAGACCTATTTTACAAGGTAAAAACTCGATCAATACGCCGACCGTAATGGTTGGGTGAGTTAAGTGTTGCTCCGGCGGATATCCAAGTGCCGCTGCGTTTAGCGCGATTAGTACTTGGATGGGTGATCGCTTAGGAACACCTTCGCCCAATAATTTTGGAAGGTAAGCACGGTGTAGTGGCCTAATGTGCCCTTCTAGTCACTGTGGCAGAAGGGAAATCAGGGCTCTGCACAATCGGCCGGCTGTACGACTGGGGTTTTCCATGGTTTCCCGTGCAGTCCTAGCCCGTATGAGGTATAACTAAGAGTAACACGGTCCATGGTAATGCAGAAAAAAATCAGGAGAGAAGAGAGAGGTGGGAGAGGCAAGGCAGATGGATGGGGGGCCTATAAAACCGCAATGGTAGTAGGAAAGAAATTATGAGTAAAAAAAACTCGTTCCATCGAAATAGAATTAAACTATGATATAGTTGTTTCAATTGATAGAACTACTGATAAATCTTGATAATTGATATATCGGAGCTTGTGAGCGTTTATTTGAATGTCTGATGTTGGTTATTTCAGAAACTGCTACTTTATCTTCAATTTCATCACGTTGCTGTAATGTAGGTCTTGAGCTCTATAAAAGAAATATGGAAAGTGGTACTGTTGACCATAAATTTCCCGCCCACTATGAATTTTTATCGCTGAAATCCGAAATGTTAAGAAATCAAGATTGAAAGAGTCGCAAAATCTCATGTTATTCAAATGGGAAAATATTTGTCTTCACCGCCACTATTTCTACTTGCGGTAGAACAAAAAATTTTGCGCCTCATTTTTCATTTCATTTTTAAAGTTTTCAACCGCACATATAAATTTATTTGAAAACCTTCTTCCTTTGGCCATTATGCGGTCACCATTAGCAATGCTAACAATTAATAAGCAAAGGAAAAAAATAAAAAAACTCCTCTGCATTTAAAGCCAACCTTTCGAGAGTTAAATACTTTCCTCATCAGGGCGATTTAATTCCTTCTATACAACAAAAATTCAAACAAAAACCCATTTCTATTGCACATAAAAAAACTACCAAAAATTGTTATCTTCAGTATCAAAAAATAACTATCAGCACAGAAATTATAATTTGTGAGAGTAGAATTTATTTATTTTTTAAATTCATGTTTCATTCCTACTACCATTACGGTTTTTATAGGCACCCATTTCATCAGCGTTTCTGTCTGTTCTCCTCTTCTTTTTACATTTTTCTGTCATATGCGCGTTATCATGGGCCGTCATACCCAACTGCACCCCATTCCGGCGAGGACTGTAAGGGAAACCATGAAAAACCCTAGTCGTACTTAGGGATGTGAGTGACAAAAATGACCGGTCAAATGACGGTCAATTACCGCACTCATGACGGGTAATTACCATGTCCATAAATCGGACGGATCGGTCAGGAATTCGAAAAATGACCAATTCAATTCTGACGGTCAATTCTCATCTATATAGATGACAAACAGAAATTTTTATTCGGTTACTCGGTGTCGGCAAGGTTGCTGGTCATGGGGACCCTATGTCGCTACTAGGGGTCTATGCGACACTAGATAACTAAATTCGTTCAGCAAGCAATTCAGGTGAAGAGCTGAGCGAGCTAGATGAGGGAGCCGGTGGCAATTATGAGAATTAAGGAGAGAAGGACTGAAGACGAGCCTCATCCAGCATCCGCCTAATTTAATATGAAGTTTTTGACCAAAAACATAATATATACAGAGATATATATTTAATGAATTTTGTTGACGTTTATTAAGTTCATGAGTTTATCATGAGTGATCTCGAGTATCGAATTTATGATTGTTTTGTAATTCGTTCCAATAAACATTCACTTTAAATTATGAAATGCGATTCAATCCCTAACTAATGAAATAAAATAACCAAAAATCTGACCGAAAAAATTACCAAAAAGAAAATGATAGTCAATTTGCATCTATATAGAGGGATTTTGGTCATTTTCTCAAATATTTGCCGCTGGTTGTTCATGGCGGTCATTTTGCATGGGGAATTATCTCGGTGTCAGAAAATGGTCAATTTTGCGATACCTGACCGAATTGAAAAATGACGGTCATTTCACATCCCTAGTCGTACTGTCGGTCGATATTGGAGCGTCCTACGGTGCGCATCTATCTCACTGACTAGATGGGTACACCAGATCTCTACATTCGCACCCGATGGTAGCAGTTCCACACGAGAAGGTAGGGCTAAGCGGACACCCATCCAAATGCTAACCAGACTAAGCGAAGCTTAACTTGAACGGTCGGAGCTACTTTTTTTCATTGACCATTATTCCCAATATTGAGATACCTTAAAAACTAATATCAAAAAATGTTCTACAAGTTTACTTAATATCGTAATTTTTTGACCGTGTATTTTTTTAGATAGAGATTATACGTTAATTATTACAATCAGTATCCATTAGCTTTTTGGTGCTTTAAATAGTATATTTCGATACGAGTGAGACGGAATTGTCATGTGTGAAGTTGGTGACCCGAGGCGCAGCTGAGGGTTGCCAATCACACGAGCTGAAAATTTCCGTCTCACATGTGTCAAACAATATTTTTCATCACGCCGTGCGCAAAAGTAACGCTTCGCGTGCCCTAAAGTCCCTTTTCCACACATTGTGATGAAATAGTATATTTCAATACGAGTGAGACAGAATTTTCAGCTCGTGTGATTGGCAGCCCTCGGCTTCGCCTCGGGCCGCCAACTTCACACTCGTGAAAATTTCTGTCTCACATGTGTCGAACAATAGTTTTTGACAGTGCTGTTACGTTCAGCGAGTGGCGAACTGTGCCTTTTTTCGTTTACTAGTAAACGAAAAGACCTTTCGTTTACGAGTAAACGAAAAGGCACTTTTCGACACGAGGTGAACGTAGCAGCAGTGTCAAAATAGTATATTTCGGTACGAGTGCGGAAAGTGTTTCGACTTTTCGTTTACTAGTAAACGAAAAGTCGAAACTTGTCAACGAAAAGACTTTTCGTTAACTAGTAAACGAAAAGTCGAAACTTGTCAACGAAAAGACTTTTCGTTTACTAGTAAACGGTACAGTTCGGCACTCGCTGAACGTAACATCACTAACAAAAAATATAGTTCGGATACACGTGCGACGGTGTGTTTTCAAAAGTCGCACTTGTATCGAAATATACTATTTCATCACAATGTGTGAAAAAGAGACGTTTTAGGCACGCTTTGCGTAAAAAGTTACTTTTTCGCACAGCGTGGTGAAAAAAATTGTCTTTTCAGTTTGCAAAGACCACATGCTACTCGTGTGACCACTACGGTCGCCAATTCAACACTAGTTAATCAGTATTGATGAATTCGACATTTATCAACTTTGCCTGAATTTGGCGAGTTTTTCCCAGAAAATTAGGATAAATGAGTTCTAGTAGGAACTCTGAAGGACCTGAGTTTATTTGGAAATTATGAAATACTAGGGGGCTACGCCCCCTGCTCGCTCCGCTCGCCAACCCCAGGGGGGCTTCGCCCCACCCCGCTCGCTTCGCTCGCTCCCCCCTCCCTGTATGACCGAGTGGGTGTAACCGGGAGGGTTTTTCCGATAGCTCTATACATACTTTACCATAAGAGGGCACATACGTATAATTCCCCCCCCCCATATAGGGGCACATACGTATAATTCCCCCCCCCATATAGGGGCACCCCCCATAAATGGGTACCCCCATATATAGGCACCCCCCATAAATGGGCACCCCCATATATAGGTACCCCCCCATATATGGGCACCCCCATATATAGGTACCCCCCATATATGGGCACCCCCCATAAATGGGCACCCCATATATAGCCTATGCATCCCCCATATATATAGGTACCCCCCCATATATGGGCACCCCCCCATATATTAGCACGCCCCCATATATGGGCACCCCCCATATACATATATGGCACCCCTCTATATTTGGGCATCCACCCATATATGGGCCCTTAGAACCCCCATGACCCTTATGACCCTTACCACCCCTATGACCCTTGTGACCCTTAGCACTCCTATGACCCTCGTGACCCTCAGCGCTCCTAAGACCCTCGTCACCCTTAGCTCTCCTATGACCCTCGGGATCCTTAGTACCTCTATGACATTTAGAGCCCCTGTGACCCTCGTGACCTTTGAGACCCTCGTGACCCTTATGATCCTTAGCCCCTCTATAACCCTTATGACACTTAACATCCCTATGACCTTTAGCACTTCTCTGACCCTCGTGATCCTTATGTCCCTTAGCACCTCTATGACCCTCATGACCCTTATGACTCTTAGCTCCTTTATAACCCTTAACACCCCTATGACCCTTAGTACCTCTATGACCTTCGTGACCCTTAAGACCCTTAGTACATCTGTGACCCTCCTGGCCCTCATAACTCTTAGCCCCTGTATGAACCTTATGACCCTTAGCACCCCTATGACCCTTATGACCTTTAGGGCCCCTATGACCCTTGAGACCCTTGAGACTCTCGTGACGCTTATGACCCTTAGCCTCTCTATAATCTTTATGACCCTTAACATCCCTATGACCCTTGGCACCCCTATGACCCTCGTGACCATTATGTCCCTTAGCACCTCTATGACCCTCGTGACCCTTATGAAGCTTAGCCCCTCTATGATGCCCTTATGACTCTTAACACCCCTATGAGCCTTAGCACCTCCATGAACCTCGTGACCCTTAGCACATCTATGACCCTCGTGACCCTCATGACTCTTATGACCCTTATGACCCGCAATTATCACCATTTCATGTCTTAACAGAAGTCGATTTGGAATTTTATAATATAGAGAGATCTCCACCTTACAAAGAAAACTGGAATACCTTTGTTTCATGAAGACCCGTTGAAAACAAAAGGTTAGAAGATGTTTATGGAGAAGATTGATTGCCCCCCGAAAAACGGCCTTCAGGAAAATTTTTATGAACCTCTTCCCTTTGGACATCTTTGCAAAATAATTTCCAAACTCCACTCATTTTCTGTTCTGTAGAATTTCATTGATGATATTATATTTACTCTTGTATTATATTATAAATTACTTACGAACTTCAGCACATAATGCTGAACCGATCAGTGCAACGCTCAGACAGACCAATAAAAACTTATCCATTTTACAAAATAAAACAGTCATAGTAGAATTATCTTCTTCCAACTCTCTGGTGACAACTAATGAGGTACTGAAGGCTATCGAGATGAAGAGACAACATTTTATACACACGTTGATGAGCTGTATAATTTTTCCACGTATGTTTTTGCTTGTTTTTCTTACAGAAGAGTAAAAAATAAATGAATGTTATCATAACTTGATACTTTGCGAATGCTCCAGCATTGGGCCATGAATATTCATGATTGATCATGGGTACATTGTTCAATAAGGACATTGAAAATAGCTCATTCAATATCTTCTATTTTTAGCAGGAAAACATGATAAATTTGAGATTGATTGTCAATAAAATTATTACAAGTTAAACATAATAATGGACCAATTCATGCAACCTGCGTACATTACCTCTCAACGACTTTGATATAAATTCATACATTGAAATGATCATGCCACTGTTAATAATGTACACAGGATAATTTTCTTTGAACCAGAAATTCTCTTCCCCCAATAAATAATTCATAGAGTTTGTTTTTTCCATCATTTTTTATTATTTCCTCAACATGAATGAATAATTCAAGAACATAACAATAACTAATAATTTCTACTAAGTCTGTAATTTGGAAAATAATAAAATCAGGCAATAAGCTTCCACCTTGTTATATTCATTCGCGATCAGGTAGCAATTCATCAAAACTGAATCTCTTAGTGATGAGATTAGCCACGTGGATGATTTTTTTGGCAACACCTTTCTCGAGACCAGTGCTTATGCTGGCTATTATCTCTGGTTTACTGGAATTCAATACGTTGTTGATGGCCTCGGAGAAGGTTTGGTCTTGACCAGGTCGTGGGACGAAATGCGATTCGTAATCACGGATGTTTAATTTGCAAGTGGTAGACGTAAAGAAGAGGTGTTGTCTGCCTTTGTGTTGGGTGTATTTGAATTTCAGCACAAGTTTAGCGGTAATGTCCTCTGTAATGAAAATATTGAATCGTTAATTAGCATGAAGCGAAAACAAAATTTAACGCTTTATTCTTTTAAAGCGTTATTGCTCATTAGTTTGTTTTTAAACTCCCGGGATGTCTATCCATAAACAATCCATCCGATTCACTTCAACTTCGGACTGGGTTTAGTTTACAGCATTCTGTATAACACCTGCAAACGGGCGCTTTGCGCCCGTCGTTAGATTAATTTATACTATGTTATTTTAAATTAGATTAATTTAATTTTATTCATTCTTATTGTCATTATATATATTTTTGTTCCTTAATTCACAAGTTACAACATTGAATGAAGAGGAATTCCCCATAAATCACGTGGGAATGCAGATCGACAAACAATTTTCGATCATCATACCTAAAGTTTTTCATTTCCTTCTTGTTTGAATTAATCATTACCAATGATCTGAAAATGTGAACGAATATGAACATTTTACATCCCTTCGATCTCATTCCAATGGAACCAAAGAAGGAAATTGCAAAGAGAGATCGATCATCATCAATCAGTATCAATACAATGAAAAAATCTATTTTTCTATGTCTTTTCAAAATTTTTCAAATTATTTTTTTCTTTTCAAAAAATGAAGGGAGATTAACATTTTTAATTTCTGTGATCATATTCCATATTGCACAGAAACAGGAAATACGGAAAATGTATGGAAGGAAAATCAAAAATAAATTTTCAAAATGGATTTTTCAATCTTCAAGATTTTAAAATGTTTTTTTTTAATAATGAAGAAAAACCAATATATTTTCTTAGTTTATTTTTCGATGTATGGCTCTAGGCCTCATACAGAACCAATGTATTTGCTTTTTATTAGCTAATTCTGATGGAAGAAAGTGAAGAGAGGAAGAGAAAGGAGATCAACATGAAAACAGAATTTTTTATTTTTCAATGTCTATGAAAAATTTAAAAATTGATATATTCTTTCGAATAATGAACCAATACCCATAAATTCAATTCCTATCCTCCCATTGTCATAGAATACATTAAAAAAATAGCAAAGAATTCAAATCGGCGATGAAAAATTTTATCAGATTATTATTATGTAGTGACCGAAAAATTGCTTGACATCCTCATCCCTTGGTTGGTATCGAATTATTTTTTTTTGCTTTTTCACTCTGTCAAAAATCCAACGTCTTTTTCATCGCAGCTTGCTTTTTTTGTAATCTTACTCGAGAAAGGTTTAGAACAGTACATAATGATCTGGAAAGTTCGCGAATCGTCTGGAAACGTCTACAATGCTCCGATGGACAATGTTCCAGAACATTCTGGAATGTTCTAGAAATCTTTCGGAATTTCGTGATTAATTCAGAGGCTAACGCTTCGAAAATCATGGAAGGTTTTAGAAAAACATAAAAACTTGTCGATTGATTTGAGGGCTTAGTTACAAGACCCTTCCATCACCGATGCTCGCTCTGGGTGCTCCGACAATATTTCAGAATATTCTAGACTTCTCTAACATTTATCGCCCAAATGTTAATTTCAACATGAAAAAATTGGACCGTAAAATTACTTCTCTCGCCCGGAGTCAAATTTTGGTACGGAGTCAAATCATTTAGAAGTTAATTCATTTCACTCCGGAATGAATTAACTCCGTCATTCACACCGAAAAACGGTGTGCACTTATTTTCCCTCCGTTTGGTGTGGACTCAGAGTCGAAATTCACTCTGGATTTTTTACTGTGTAGTTCTTAACCCATCAATACTCACGCTGATTTTCTCTTACAAAAGTTTTTCCAGGGTATAAGGAACATAAGGGTATAAGGCCAAAAAATTGAGATTTTGAACTGAAAGATTCTGATTGCCTCAAGCAATTATCCCTCTTTCCTCTGGGGCCAATAAAAACTGTTGAGCATGTTTCAATAAATTATAAGAAAATATTTTATCGAGTTCGGACAAAGAGCGCGTGAGGTTCTCTCGTGGCGTGAGTAAAGCCGGCCGTGTAGCTCACTTGCATCGAGCGGTTTCGTGAGGCGTTCAGTAATACTCGGCAACTAAACCAGTCCTATGGATAGCTCGGACCTCTCTTTTTAACTAGTGCACGCGCAGTGCGTGAGTGATTCTCTCACGGCGCTACTAAAGATTCTCGGTGAAATGGCGCAAGTACTGACGGCTTAAATTTTTTTCAAAGTATCCGGTCATCTTGATCAAAACACATCTCCAAAGAATAACAATAGACGAGTAGATTAATTTCAGAACAGAAATTTTAAGAACGAAAATAATTTTGGTTTGAGATACCGAATGTTCTTTTTGTTATTTTTTGAACCCAAAAGTTCTGAATTTCAGAACCAAAATTTCCTTAAATTAAGAAAAAATGTTTCTTAATTCAAGTACAATTATAGTAGATTCGAGAGAAAATAACTGAGAATTAGAACTTTGTTCTTTGATTTTAAGGAAAAATTTCTTCAAATAAATGAAAATTTCAGTTATTTCCAGGATTTTTGACTTGCTAAATTTTAATAAATATTTCAATAAATAAATTTCAACTAAATTTTAGTGCGAAGGATTTTTCTGTAAAGAATGATGTCAAAATCAGTTTTAAACTTATCTTTCACTAGTTGTACATAGTATAAAAATCTATATGCATGATCTGTTTAATGATTTTTCAATTAGACCAATCAATGTTTAAATATCAATCTCACCTGCATCAATTTCAATCGGCCCCCCAGCAGTGATCGGTACAAGAATCCGGGCCATGATGTCATAATCGCTCTGGAACTTGAGTTTATCGAAAGCAATATCGATTTCCAACGTCATAGCATTCAAATTGACATTGACTCTGGTTAAGTCGAACTGAGATACACCGAATACTTTAGTATTACGAGTGTGTGCTCTGAAAGCCTGGGAATTGGCTATCGTTAGGTCTTCATCAATGTTCAGAGGCTCCAAAGACGGTACTTGGAGGTCAGATATGCCGGTGCGGAGCTTATGGCGGAGTGCCTCAACACTGGTCTTCACACAGCCACTGAGATCTGGATCTCTCCGACCGCATATCTTCAAGTAAGACGCTGAACAAGATGATGGCAATTAATAATTGCATGACAAAAAGTTGGGTGGTAGAGTAGAACAAGTGGGCAATTTTTTTTTATAAATGAGTATAGTTAATGCTGCTAATAAATTAGCAATTTGTTTCCGAATGGGTTCTAATTTTTTAAAATTCTTATTTCACTATTCTTTTCAAGGTTTAACCCTAGTCTGGTCACCAAACGCGACTCTGCGACTTGGTCACCAACGCGGGGATTCGCCGCCATATTATTTAGGCTCTAGCGTTGCCGAATTCACTCTACACTGCCCGGGCGCGTTTAGCGAGTTTCCGACAACGTCGCGTCATGGATAATTTCATTTAACACGGGGAAAAATAATTGATCTATCCGAAATAATTTGTTCTCTTTAGGAAGTTTGGGAAATATGTTGTTTTAAAACCTACTATAATTTTTTAGACACTTCAATTGACAAAGTCATTTTTTTTTTAATTTTTCCGGTTAGCACGTTAATTGTAATTGAAGAAAAACGAGGCGCGGCAGCGTTTCCCTCACAGGGAAACCAATGTAGGGTTAATCAGTGTATAGCCGCAATTGAATCAGAGTTTATTCAGGATCTAGCCAGAGTTAACCCAAGTTGTGTCAGAAGTTAGTCGGGGCTATGAATAAATATGAATAATTATTCAACATAATATAGACTGGTAGCTAAGTTTAACCCGTCAGTAGGCGCGCTCTTTTTAGTACCTCACTCGCACTGCAGAGACGTCCTATTGGTTGACTAACATAAGGTGAGGAAAATGCTCATAGCGCGCCTACTGACGGGTTAATAGAGACAGAAATTTTAATATACGAAGCTCATGACGATATTGTGTAACTTGATAGGCAATGATGATGTTCTCACCATTTTTCAACTTGATTTAAAAGGCATTGAAATATACTTTTCAAACTTTGATTTAATTATTATTACTGATAATTCTTTCGGTAATCGTGAAAAATCCGATTTTCTCTTTCAAATCGCATAATCAATGTGCTGTAACTCAAGAACGATTTGTGCGACCCCATCATATTCTGATATAATGAAGAGGGTATCAATTTTTTGAGCCATGAGTAATTTCATTTTCGTCATATCTGTACGGAAAGTTCGGTTTTTCTCCCCAAATGATAGGAGAAAAGTGGCTTATTTCATTTCTCGGATTTCTGTTGTTTTCGACGAACCTGGGAATGACATAACCCACTTTGCTCCCTGAATTTAAAAATAGTATGTGCACCTAGGAAGGGAAACAGGACATCAAAACCCGGGTATTTGCCGCCCTCGGCTGCGCCTCGGATAATTCACACGCGGGTTGAAAGGTCCTGTTTTCCTCGATTGGTGCACAATCTACTATTTTATGCAAATTTTTTGAGTGATCGTTAAAAAATCAATTTTTGGAAAAATATCAATTTTCTTGAATCTGTAGGAAAAATTGAATTTCAATTGATGTCACTGAATGAAGCTTATTGAAATCTATATTTATGAAAAAATGCATGAAATCCGATTAATCCCTTTTAAGAAAATTTTGAAAAAAATTAAAAAAGAACACATACATGTATATACACACATACATACAGGCACCATTTAAAAATCACATATAGCTTCCATTCGGAAGCAAAACCAATTTATTTCGCAGTAATTTGGTGGTGATGTGGTGCAAAATGGATACTTTTGATATTATGAAAAATACAATTCTTCCCCTTAGTGATGAGCTGAGACTGAGCTCAGTTGATAAATTTGTTAAGACGTTATAAACATTGCAAAAAAGTCACCAGTTTCTGTTTTGCCTCACCCTTTCCTAATAATTATAAACAAACATGTCAAGAGACATTTTGTAAACTGCAAAGATCTTCCGATATTTTTCTCTAAACCATATAGTTCCAGAGATACTTTTAAAAGAATCTGTACCAAAGCTTTTGTTCTAAAAAAACTCGAATAATTTTTCTCATCATAAATTATTTTGCAGATATTTTGAAAACTAACAGATTTATTGGAGAATTCCAAAATATTTTTTCGGTGAGAATTGAATTTCCCACAAACCGATCTTCTGACGTTATCTCCTAAACCTTCTCCTTCCAAAAATATCCCCAAATAACCGGTCTGCACTGATAGAAAGGATTAGTTATTGTTAACGAATGGATTTTTGGTTGAAAACGACGGTCTATTCGGTCTCACCAAATGTTCATTCGTTAATAGTTAACAAATGCAGAGTTGAGGAGCCTCATTCGATTCGATTTTCACATTTCAAGTAAACCATTCGTTAACTATTAACGAATATTCATTTGGTCATATTCAACTCTACCATTCATTAATAGTTAATGAATCTCGTTTGGAATAAATGAATCCGTCTACCAGTGTGGAAGTTCCTGTACAGATTTCACTCAGTCAATTTCAATGATTATTCGTCTCAATTATTTCAATGCCTGATACTTACGAACTTGAGCAGAGCATGCAGCAACAACCACAGCAATACAAAAAACCACTGAGAATACTCTAGCCATCATGACCAAATATTCTCCTGAATTTTCAGAACACTAAAGCTGTGGAGCAAAGGCGACACCTCAGTGACGGCAAGAGTCCTCACTGTCTTCCTTATATATCCTTCCGAAAATAAAACCAGAACCATGGAAAAAAAGGCCAAGTCAAAGTGGTCCACCTTAGCCATCATTTTATCATAAAAAGAAGTTTTGCATATAATGTGGGTTCCCCTCGATTTATCAAACGAAAATTCCCGGAATCTTTTTATAGCAGGAAGTTTCGTGTTTACAAGAATGAAATAAAAACAACTGCAGAAGGACAGCCTTTTTCATTTCTTTTATTGCGAAGGAAGTGCATTAAAGTCAAGATTCCATAATGGTCAAATACAAATTCTATTCCAAGATGAATATATTTCCCCTCAATTACGAAAATACAAATGACGAAATTTTATTAAATCCTAGCGCCAGCGTCTAATTACACATTTACGTGTCAGTTTGAAATGCACGTTAATGACACGCGATTGCATATATCCACCTGTTCGGCAATATTCTGTTACGGATCGACGGAATACTGAGCCCCAGCGAGTTCTAAACGTGTGCATTACTGCAATACTTTGTATACTTTCGCTTGTCACTGATTGCACAAATTTATGGAAAAGGGCTTCACGAAATCCTCTGGATTTCCTGCATATTTTTATCTGCCGAATCGTAATAGATCGTTTTTCTATAATCATTTCAATAATAAAATTGTCATCCTATAATTGAGACGACAATGATTTTGTTGTCAATAATTAACGAAAATGCGTGAGACAGTTCAAGAATCATCACGAATGTCCAGTAGTGAAGAAAAGATGGGCGAAAAGAAAAAAAATCCACTAACATTCTCTCGGGCATTTTACACTATATCCACCCGGGTTTATAAACCCATAAGATTATTGAGTGTATTTACCTTTTCAACCAATGGCCGTCAAGTGGCACGAGGTAATCTACTTCTGCAACAACTAGTTGCAATTGATCATTTTCGAAAACATTTTATATTCGTGGTTTCTCGGCTCAAACGTGTCTATTCCATCGTGACGAACGGATTGCTATCATGATCGTCCATTCATTATTGTACGTTAAATATTAATTTTTCGGTAAATGAAAAAATAATAAATTTGCATTATTTCTCATGTCCATATTAAAAATAATAATAATAAATTCAATAAATTGGTTTATAACTCAATCAATTAATGTTTTTGGTGATTTATAATTTAATCTTCGATTGACCTCGGCTATTATTCGTCGGTGCTTCAGGGACTGTCGTCGAGACGTGCCGTTTAATTAAAATGCTGAGGGTCAAATGAATTCCGCAAACACGCACACACTGTGAAAGTCAATGAATCTGTGGTCGTGCCATCGGCAATTGTACATTGCCGCTTATTTTTATCAATAATTATTCTCCTTGTCTGTGCAGTCTCAGAGCATAACAGAGACACTGAGATTGACTATGATGCTGCTGTCTTTGAAAATTTTTGTGGATGGATTACATATGAATTCCTAGGGCAGTTTTTTCAGTGATTTATCAACATTTTTGTCGTTTATTTCCAGCCTTCTGTCGGCGATAGCGAGCTTCGCGATCGCGGCACTACGTCAGTATTCAATTCTAAATAAAGTTCTGTAATGAAGTGAAAAACATGACTTGTGCTTGAGAGATGATTCAAGGGAATTTTTGGTATCGAAATTCATGTGCTGCAAAAGAAACTTTTCATAAATATTTGCGAAATAAACTCTTTAAAAATCGTGACTTCAATGAAAATTATGATATTTTTAATTATTTATTCATCTTGTTAACGAGTAACTTTGGGACAAAACGTTAGAAAACTCCTTTTATAGATCACAAACAAATGTTCGATATTTATTCATTCATTCCATTAAGGATGTATTACCCCCTTTTCGCCAAAATTCGCGTTTTTTAAATTTTTCTGGTAAATTGTTGATCGGATTGACGTGAAAAAATATACCGTTTTTGCGTTTTATCATTATTAACTGATCGTAGTGCAATCATTTTCCTGCGTTTTTTCTAAAACTTTTCGGAAATTCACAAAACTTTAGAACAAATGCAGGAAAATGACTGCACTACGATCAGTTAATAATGATAAAACGCAAAAACGGTATATTAATTCGCGCCAATCCGATCAATAATTTGCCAGAAAAATTAAAAAAACGTAAATTTTGGCCGAAAGGGCGTAGTACATTCTTAACGCGTGATTTTAGAAGAAATTATTAAGAGATCTCTTTTGTTGCTGCGAAAATTTCCTACGAAAAATGTCTCATGATTTTTTTAAATTTATAAACTGAGTAAATTCCTCAAAATAATCGACTTTTACTACTTCATTACAAAATTGCCCGTGAAGAAAAATTGAATCTATTCAATTAGTTAATTATTCTCGTTTACAGCTCCGTACATCAAAGCATGCAAGAGACGCGATCCAGACATTAACAACTGCATTACAAATACAATTGAAGAGCTGCGGGAGAAGTTGGCGGAGGGAATACCTGAGCTGAAAGCGCCGGCGATCGAGCCACTCACCTTGAAGCAAATTCGACTGCTGCGTGGACCCCAAGGTGCCCGATTGGATGTTAATCTCACCAACATTCAGGTAACAAATGATTCCATCAACATTTCAGAATCTTTATTCCTATCCAAACATTCTCCACTCCATTTGAATCATCAACCTGTTTTCCTTGACTTTGGAATTCTCTGATGAAATGTTTCATTGTTGTGTTTTATTTTTCGTTGATGGGTAGGACAGTTGAGTCATTTTCTTACTGGTGAATTTAGGTACGAGGCCCGTCGAATTTCAGAGTACGTGACTTGAAAGCCAACACTGAGGATGTTGAGTTTACATTCACAGTGAGCTTCGATGTCCTGAGATTCAGTGGAAAATACCAAATTGATGCTAGACTGCTATTGTTAAGACTCGCTGGTAGTGGTGATCTCACGGGCAATTTCAGTGAGTTCAGTAACATTTCAATATAATTATGATTTTTATACATGAGAACTCGTTTTCAAAAATGATTTTCACTCCAAAATTGAAATTTTTTTATGTAAAATTTTTCAATTTTAAATTTTTCTACATTTTTATTTCCACACGGAGAGAAATATTCAATATTCAAAATTACGGAGCAATTCACGTAATCCGCAGTGGGGAATCGTTTTCCGGAAATTTTTATAGGAATGGAAGAGAAGAAATCTGAAACGCTCAGTCAATTTTCAGGTCCATCACCGAACGAAGTACGAAATTGTCACGTAACTATTCCCGAAGAAGTAAAATCTTACAGAAACTTACCGACTTATTATGCCTCCAAAATAAAAAATTCTTGAACGTTCAACAATTTTTATGAAGCTGGTAAGTTATTTCTATGTTCCGTTCTATAAAATTTCTCAATCGTTGGGGAAAAATTACGGAACGACTTGTTGATCAGACATAGAGTGGTCAATTTTTACGGAACAAATCGTAGAATTTACGTGGCAGCTCGTACAACTTCAGTTCCGACTCACACTTTTTATTGAATTTTACTTTGCTCGCGGATTACGTTTCGAAACGTAATTTTTACGTTTTTTCTGATTATTTTCATCGAGCTTTTCTCTCCGTGCGTTTTTTGAAGCTTGGAAAGTCATTACTCTGGTTGTAATGGTAATTATTAATCACGGAATCCATTATCGAACCAGATAATTCAATTTCACATACGTTTTAGCAGAATCAAAATGAAAATAACAAACTGACTATTTTCAATTTTTTTTCTACCATTTTCTTGCTAAAAAAACCGTCATGTCTTTAACGGGTTCTTAAGCAATTCTTTCTCCAAGTTATTACTCCTCAGATACCGATACTTATGCATTGAGAAATACTCAACATCCCGTGCAAATGTTGTGACACCGCTTCATTCTCTAATTTCCAGCTGGGTACGAGTCGGGCGTAATCCTGCGAGCGAATAAAGTAACGAGAGATGGCAACGTCTACCTGAACTTCGAGAAAATGCGTCTGAATATAAAAATTGGCAAAGCCCACATATACCTCAACAACCTTTTCGGAGGTGATCCCATATTGGGTAAGAGTTCTCACATATTCTACCATCAATAAAAAAAATAGAATGGGGATATTGAACTATGGCCCCGTAACTTTCATTTGCAATATCATAAACCGTGCAATCAGTATAAATCTCTCAACATTTTTACTTCATTATTGACTTGAATGAATCATAATCTTAAATCATTTGTCTAAGCAATAGTCAGATGAGATTCACGCAACAATCCTTAATAATTTAAGCTTAAAATCACTGGAAATCAGATATAATTTCCTCAGAAATTGTCATTGAGAATTTTCTAGTACTCACAGTTATTCTATAAAAGAACGTAAGTCACAGTCATAATGACTACACTGAGAAAAAAAAAGTCTAATACCTGAAACATATTTACTTGAGACAAGTAATTTTTCTTCAATCGGTTAGGGGGATACGTCGGTAAAATTTAAAAGTCTTCACTGGGGCTTGGGACCCATTGAACAATTTGTGGTACATGGCGGAATATAGGTATAACTAGGGAAAATTGCGGACCCGATCGATTTTGCCCCGTGTAACCGGGAAAAACTTCATTTTTTGCTATTTTTATCTTCAAAATGCTCTTTGCGCCAGAATTTTCATACGATTTTAGCTTTTTTTAAAATATTCATTACACTCCAAAGAATAAAGTTAAAAGTCCGTTTTATTTTATTCGCAATAGATCGTGAATAAATGAATTTTGAATTTCATAAATTTTTCGCGTCTCTAGAGTAGGACTAGAAATTCATTATTTTTAGTAATTGAACATTGTGATCATGCGTGACCTAATTCTTAGGAATAGAAAAAAAGGCAGGTTGAAGCGAAAAGACGGGTTCAAAAGAAAATTTATGAAATTCAAAATTCCTTTATTCATGATCTATTGTGAAGGATACAAAACGGATACTTAATTCTATTGTTTGGAGTTTAACGAACATGTAAAAAAAGCTAAAATCGTATGAAAACTACGGCGCAAGAAGCATTTTCAAGGTGAAAACAGGAAAAATGAAGTTTTTCGTGGTTATATGGGACAAAATCGATCGGATACGCGATTTTCCGTAGTCATTCCCATATTCCGTCATATATCACAACGACTTGCATGATTTTTTTTTCCATTTCCTAATCTCAAGTTTGGGACCTGAGTAGTTCATATTTTATTCACAAACGTGCGAAATATTGCTCTTTAAGGGTGCCAAGTGAATTTGAAAAATGATTCAAAAAAAATTTTTTCTTTCCCTCCATGATTGGAGAAATATGTATTCATCCATCCGACGAAATTTCAAACATGGGTCAACCGGAACTAGACATCGAGAAAATAAATGCGGAAAATCCTCTATTTCGCGTGACGAACCTCGAGAAAGCATGGGATCAAATGGGTACGGCGGGTTGAAATATCTCTCTTATTCACCCCGGTACCCCATTGTTTTTTGTCGCCATCACATTGAACACATCATTCCCCATATCTTCAAATTTTTTCAAATTTTTCTTGAGTTCCTAGGGGGTTGAAACGTTCAATTTAATCAAAACTCCATAAGAGGCCGTGTATAAGACTGATTTTGTTTATTTAATTTCTCGATATCCATAAGCTCCAAAATTTTTAAATTGTCACCGATGTTCACCATCTGTCTAATACTATTAATTGAAAAAATTATAACTTTGTTGGTGAATGTCAATTTTCAAGGTCATCGCCAAATTCACTTGGCACCCTTAATTAATAATTAATTATTAAAAGTTAAAGAGTTCAAACGCTTTGAAATCGCTAATGACGTCACACAGACGGTCGAGTGCTGGACCAATGACACAATGGCTCGGGTCGACCTAACCCATGTTGAAGTGCGCCTCCGCCAATGGAGGACAACTCCCCACTCTCTCATTTTTCGACAAATGAAGCGATTGACTGATTTTAAATTAATTATTATAAGACATCTAGGCAATATTTGTCCATAATTTTCGCCCTTTAGCTATCCTTATGTTATGAGGAATGTGTGAATTGGGGAATTAGAAAGAATTGAGCTTCATGCAAGTTCCGTTTTCTCCCAGGGAGCTCAACTCACGTGACCCGAGAACGATCTCATCGTCTCATGCTTTCAAATATTCTTGTAGTCAAGTATGATTTTGTCGCAAATGAACGCCCCCAAATCGCGTAGAAGAATTATCGATCTTCAAGTATTTATAGTCTTCATGACTTTTTTGTCATTACAGCCGTAAGGCAGTGCTTCACGGATGCTACGTGTCCGTGAATCGCTACTTACAGCCGTTATGACAAAAAAATATTGTTCGTCGTACGGCCTAAAAAAACTTCTAGCTCATATTCGCCAGAAAAGTTTTTTTCGGCCTAATGACGAAATATACTATTTTATGCACTTGTAATGATTAGATATGTATCATATTCACGATGTAACGGGCAGCGTTAGTGATAAATGAGAATTTATTCGAAATCTATGAAGCGCAAACATTCTGAGATTTAAGCTATCGAAAATAATTTACTAATTTCAAGTAAATATGGTCTACATATTAAGAAATTTTTCCCTCAGCGTACAGTCAATATATTAAGACCGATGGTTCAGCCGTGAAGCATTCAGAAGTAATAGAATGAGTAATTTTTTTCAATCTTATCGTATATGGTTCTACGTAACGTAATTTTCAAGGGGAATGACAGGACACATTTTTTCATGAATTCGCTCAACCGATTCATTTTAATTCCACATCACTTACGTCCTTTTTTTCGATCATACTCAGCGAAAAAATATGTTCTTGAATAAGTCCTGTTTGAACCAAATAAATGGCAAGTTCGTAATTGCCAAAATAGTTTCATTGGAACATATGAAAATTTCAAGCATGGATATAATCGCTTTTCTTTTAACCAACGATAAAGTTGACCCAATAGGCCTAATAATATGATATCATTATGATTGGGCTCGCCAAATAAGAAAATGGCATTTTCGCCTTCGGCAAGTGCTGCGCACCTCCCACGGGTCGAAAACACTTAGGCATTCGTATCGAAATATACTAATTCATCACTTATGCATAAAGTGAATTTTTCACTTCACGCGTTCAATTCCAGATATCGTGATGAAAAATGGGATTCGACACTCATGGGGAAAGTGTTCTTTGACCATTGGGAGGGTAGTTCTCAAAAAACACTTTTTCGTCATATCTGCACGGAAAGTTCGATGTTCCTCCCCAAATGACGGGAGCAAAGTGGCTTATTCACTCGTGTGGTTGGCCAGTTCTCACCTTCGGTTCGGATACCAACTTCCCGGAGGTAAAAAATCCCATCGCAACAGCCCGGAAAAATACTAATTCTCACGAGCCTCAGACAGTATTTTTCATTACAGTGCGTGTGAAGTGTGGTTTTGCGCACGCAGAGAGGGCAGAAAATGTCCCTTTACAAACAGCGTTTTAAAAAATCGATTAGTTACGCTCAACCACTTTGCCCTAGTAGAAATTGTGAGGTTCTGCGATATTGACTGTTGCAGCGACGTTCACGCACGGTGTGCGCTGCCGTACTCCGCGGCTAGATCGCTGCTGAAACCCTATGGACACTGACGCGGTGCGCCCCGATTTTTTCATTTTATCAATAATAATAATCACCAATTAGTTGGGAGCGATTATTATTCACTAACGAATCGTTACTCCTTCAATAATTGATTTGAATTAATACGCATAATCTGAAGTTTGTAAATTCTTGATAGCGATACCACGAGACGCGAAAGAAACAAGATGAGACGAGACAAACGTGACGAGAGACATGACGAGACGAGACGAGTCATTCGAGATAATGATAGAAACGAGACGAGACGAGAAAAGCCGGTGGAAAACGAGAGAAACGAGAGGCGAGAAGAGAGTCGAGAGCCTCCCCGTCTCTGTCCCTCTGGGTATTTTTTTCGTGCAAATTGGATTATAGAGACGAGATAAGGTGAGAGGAGACGAGAGAAGAAATTGCTCTTGTATTTTGATACGAGACGAGACGAAAGAATGGTTTCCTGACAACGAGACGAGACGAGACGAGAAGATGCAGTTTCTCGTCTCGTTTGGGCATCACTGATTCATAATTGACGGGTTTTGAGGGTAGGGCAGACACAGATAGGTCTCCCTCGCATAAACTACGCGCAACTCTGTCTCCGCGACCCTGCTGCGTACCTTTGTGAGGTACTTCTCCGCGGAAGGCAATGTCGCGCGCCCACTTACGCCGCAACGTGTCTGTGCAATAAAATTTCTATTAGGGCGCTGCTGAATCAATTAATACTAACAACACTAATTACAACTATTGACAATAATAATGAAATTTATAATTGTTTCAGGACCAGCAAGTAATCAAGTGCTCAACGCAAACAGCGATTTATTAATTGATGAGTTGCGGCCAGTTCTGGAAGAAGCTCTCTCTGATTTATTCACCGAAGTAGCCAACAAAGTCACTAGATCATTCACTTACAACGAATTATTTCCACTCGAGTAAACCTACTTTCAATCAATTTATCAATCGCTCAATCAATCAATTACAATTTCGTTGTTATAATTTTGTCTCTATTCTCTTCTTGTCATCCAAAATACATGAGTGAAGATTTCTCACGGCAGAATCTCGTCTTTGGTGAGAGCTCCAAAGGCCCTTGCAGCTAATGCTTTAGCTATCGACGTAGCTGTCTCCTCGATTATAGGATTTATTATGTCGAGAACAAGGCGGGGACTTCCATTGAAGAAGTTTGCCGCTGCATCGGCTGCTACCCTGTGCTGGGGTTGGGCCTGCAACTCGATATTTCCATTCCCAACGCGAATTTTTGTCTGCAGTTTGTGTACTTGAACCCTGCGAATGCCATTCTTGTCGGTCACTTCGCGGCCTTGAGCTTGAACCCGTACTTGAGTGTTTGCTGAAGCGGAAAAAACAATTGGAAATCAGTTATTTACAGTAATTGATTGATATTCATGAAGAAGTAATTTTTTGGGTTCCCCTAACATCCAGTTTTTATTGTTTGTTCTGCTAAAATTCAGTTGTTTCTCAAACAAGGCTTTCTCAAGGTGAAGAATAACAAAGAATAAAAAATCTCGTGGTGAACATTTCAAGAGTGTCCTAAGATCAAAATTTTTACCTTGAACATAGATTTAACTGCTCAAAAAAATTGTTATTTTCTGTGCAAGCAAGAAATCCCATTTCTACCACTACACGGAGAGAAATGTTCAGTAAAAATTACGGAACTTACAATTCGCTCACCGATTACGGAATCGACTCAGAAAATTTAAGTGACGGTATCGTAATTTTTCACAGGAGATTCAGATAAAAATTGCGGAACGCTCTGGAAAAATTCCGTGACAGTTCCGTAAAATTTCCTACAACCACATTTCGCTCCGAAATAATGGAAAAGATACGTAATTGTTATTGAATATTTCTCTCCATGTACTTGTATTTTTCTCCCGATAAATATTCGTTTTTTATGCAAAACGGGATTATAATTCTTCGTTTCAGGTATTAAATACTCAAACATAAGGAATCAATTTGTAAATAGAATGATAATGATGATATGATAGCAAATTTGTAATTTAAGAACAAAAAATGTCTCAGTTTGAACTTCACTTTATGCGAGATATTTTCATTCTCAAAGGTATCATCTGGCTGGAAAGATTCCCCCCTCGAGTCGAATATTTCGTTGTGGAAAACAGACCGATTATTTATGTTTGAAACTTTCGCATCTTCAACTAAAACAATTTCTATTTCTACAATTATCAACTTGTGGATTTTTTGGTTCAAACCATTTTTTTTTGAGAACATGTTTTTTATTCTCAGTACAGAATAGAACCGTCTTTTTCCCCCAAGAAATATTTTGGCTTTTTTCTCAAACAAAAAATTAATTTCGCTTTATCAATTCCGTGGAAACTCAAAACTTACTGAAATTTCCTTTGAACCCTCCATTCCCATTGAGTGTAAGCAACAGAAGAGTTCCCTTAACATCATAATTCCCCTTCACATGCATATATGGGAATTGTGCTTTCAGAGTAACAGTTAAATCGTCAGGCTGCGCATGTAACTCATCAATTTTGTAATTAGTTCCTCCGTAAACTCTGACACTGGTCAAATTAGCTTTGACCTTGATAGCATCGAGATTACGATCTATCACGAGGGAAGGTAGAACGAGTGGATCCATCGGTGGTATCTTCAGAGATGGTATTCCCTTGACTAGTTGCGGCGTAACTACTTCCAATTGCTGCAGGACACACTTGTCATATTCGGCTGGAGGACTGGCACGAGGACAGGGAGTCACTCCAGGTGCTGAATAATCAATTGGGTTAATTGAAACTAATTTTCTAATTACTATGTATCGATTCTATTTTTATGCTGGTAGAAAAATGTGACGGAGGGTCATTGGAAAGTTTGCTCCAGTAGAAAGTGATTCAGAACGTGCTTGGAGACACAATCTTTTTCCGATGATTCTCGTTCGAGGCGAATAAAAACGAAAAATAATTGAGGGATTCTGAATTCACTAGTAATGTGACAAAATTGTTAATTAAGGATATCCAAGTATTTTTTACAGTTTGGTACAGAGCACACTACAGATACAAACATTTTCAATCATCAAATTTGTCAATTCAATAGCCTGAAAAAAAATGAATAAAATCCCGAATGTTCAGCGGCATTCGTGTTAGATTTTGCACAGAATTATTATTTTTTAAACATTCGTTGTTTACAAATAAGTAATTGAAATTGTTTAAACTTTCGGAAATCTTATTTTTTTAGGTATGACATCGATATTGTGGTAAAATTCTGAATATGAATAAATTTGTTACGATTCCGAACAAATAATTTATATGGTGGAAAAATTTTGGTTTATAAATTATTTATAAAAAATGCTCGTAATTTCAAAAAATGCAAGTTTAAAATTATTTCATCAATGTGTCTGCAAAAGTAAACTTTCCAATTGTTTTGTCAGTTTTTTAACCCTAGTCTGTTCACCAAACGCGACCTGCGATTTGTCACCTCCGCGGAGATTCGCCGCCATGTTATTTAGCCTTGCCGAATTCACTCTACACTGGGCGCGTTTAGCGAGTTTCTGCCAACGTCGCGTCATGAGCAATTTCATTTAACATTGGAAAAAATCATTCATCTCTCCGAAATAATTTGTTTTTTTTTTAGGAATTTTGGTAAATATGTTCTAAAAACTCCTAGAATTTTTTAAATACTTCAATTGACAAAGTCAATTTTTTTTTAATATTTCCGGTTAGCCAGTCAATTGGAATGTTAAAAAAAGACGCACGGTGGGTTTTCCCTCATAGGATGAGCAATCTAGGGTTAAAATGCTTTCTAACGGTTCAATATTGCGATTCAAATACAGACCTGCAAAGTTTAAATAATAAAATAATTGTAAAATGTTCGGAAACATAGGGTCGAATGGGGTTCAAATGAAAGCTCTGATGTTCGACTACAAAAGTAAGAAAGCATTTCACTGGAGAAAAAACAGCCAAAGTCCTTAGATATCCTTAAGTACTGAATCATCTTGGAGATGAGCCGCTTTAGGAGAAAACGTCAAGAGAACTTTCGTCGCAGAGGACTGAATTCTCTACAAAAATGGCATTGAAAATTTTCCCCCGGAATAACTTGTTTCGGAGGTAAACGCCGAAGACGAAAAGAATGTTCGATTGTATATACTATGGTTGCACTCCACACTGATTCCAATCGATGGTCAAGAAAGGTAAACTTGATTTTCACCTTATTTATTTACTTACGCAATTCTCCCGAGGTTTTTCCACTCCACGTGAGTAACACCAAAAATGCAATGTAATACATCATTTTGAACTGCCTAGTAATTAATAAAAATTGAATGGAGTAAAATTTAAATAAAGATTGATTTTATGAATTCACTAATGTCTATGGGCACAGTGTACACGAAATAATAGCGATTACCAATGTGCCGGTTTCATTGAAAATGTGAACGTTATTCACTTGCTGGTGTATATATAAAGTAAGCGCTAACTTTCTCCGTTCCGAGTTGTGTTTGGATATGTGCTTTTACCCCACCCTCTTTTTTTTTTACTCACAGATGTAATAGGGAATTTATCACGGTAGAACGCTCGGCTTTTTAACTCAGTCATGGCCGTACAAAGACCTGTGACAGCGGTGGAAACAAAAAACACAACTACATTGATAGGTAATGTTGGTTTTATGATTGTAATTGTCCGGTGTTTTATTCCGGGCATTGTCATTGGTGTCATCGGGTTACTCGTCATTGACGATGGGCTGATGGGTATTCCTGTCGTATGCTCCACGTCAATTATATGCGGAGATATAAATCTCCCTGGGTTTGGCCTTCAGATGAAAAAAAAATACCCTTTGTGATGAAATGTCATTATTGCAGTTGTCGTTTTTTTGTTCTTGGAAAAAACATGGATAAATCGGTTTTTAATTGTGATGGGATGCACCTTATTAGTGGGGAGTACAATGAATGAATCATTGTTCTGGAAGATGGGTGAATGATATTTTTTAGTATTTGGAGAATCGCAGAATTTAGGAGAAAATGTCAGGGACTTTTTAATAGGCAAGAAAGTTCTTGACAAAAAATTCTTCCCATTCTTCTCCTGAAGTTAATTATTATCGAGATAATGTCATAATTAAGATGGGAAATGTCGTACAGTTGATACCTTGCTCTACTACCGTTTAACTGTTTCTATTTTATCCTTCACTGAATGTATCAGCTTGGGCGTCAACCGCCTCTTATTTTTCCCACAATTCATCCAACTGTCTGTATTTATGGTCTTAGAATAACTCGTTCTAGCCAATATGTCTTTTATTTTTTTGAAAAACGATGGAAAAATCAATTTTTAATTAAGTATGCAATAAATGAATTATTATTCTGGAACATCAATCAATGGGATTTTTCTTCACTTTGAGAATTGAACGGTTTAGGAGAGAATGTAGGGTACCTTTTTGAAGAGATAAAAATGCTTAACAAAAAATTTCTGTTGATTTTTCTCCTAATCAACTTCAAGAGATTTATCGAGATCATTTCGTATTTCAGAGCAAAAATGTCAGCCATGCAATTGCTACATTTTTAATTGACTGTATAACACTTTCATTCATGTTTTTCCATTAGATTAATTCTATTTAAACCTTCAGTGACTGTATCTGCTATTAGGGCGTCAACCGCCTCTTAGTCGCCATGAAACCTGCAATCGAAAGTCGTCAGGTGAATCGCGTACGCTCAGAGTGCATTCGCGTCAGGATTATTTTCCTCATCTTTTTTTAATTTTTTTTTTTCAATGTGACTGGCGCGAACTTAATTAAGAGGCGCCCTAGAACAAGTATATATTTGAAGAGAAATCAGTGTTTTTGTGTAACAAAGAGAGTGATTTATCTTAAAGCAGTATAAATAAACTCTCAGTTGAGTCGTTATGTGTAACAAGGAAAAATTAATTTTAAAAGGCAAAAAAAAAGTCATTTATCGTTAATAATTTTTCACATAAATTCTGACTTTAATGAGCGTAAGAAATTGATCCATCAAATTCTTTCTTCAATTATTCTTCTAAGGGGGAACCAGGTGAAATTTGAAAGTCTTCGGTTGATGAAAATACCTATCGAGTGACTTTTGATATATCATGGGGTATCTGAAAAACTATGAAAAATGTTGTACACAACCCGTTTAACCCCGTACATCAGGCGAAAACGTCGTTTTTCATGTTTTTGGCTATGAAATTCTCCTCGCACAACAATTTCCATCGGATTAAAATTTTTTTTTTAATGTGCGTCAGATTTTAGAATAAAACGAGGTATTTTTTCGATTATCTGAACTACACAAAGTTTTTATCGTGTTCAAGTTCCACTAAAATTTTAGGAAATCTTGTCATTGAAAATTCAGAATTTCATGGAACAATCGAACAGAACTGTTAATTTCCTTTCCATTTTTCTCCGAAAATGAATAGAAAACTAAAAAATTGTGGTAAATATATTCTTGAATTTTGAGGACAGTGACATTGAATGCGATTGAGAGGGGAAAATCATGAAATTTCAGATTTCACTGAAAATTCCATGTAATTTGACACTAAATATTCATATTAGATTGGAAATTCACATAAATAAGAAATTCTTGTCTTCATGTCGCTTAAAATTCTGGAATTTTACTGAATTTTCAGTGAAAGCTAAAATTTCATTTTTTTTTTCCACTACATCAGATTCAGTGTCACTGTCCGGAAAATTGATAGTCAACTGTCCATGAAATTTCATTTTTTTTCTAACAGCGTAGATTATAGAAAAGGTATTTTTTTTTCGATTTACTCTTTTTTTTTTCGTTCTTTCATACCGTACAAGTCATTATTGTGAATATCTGTTATGTACTATTTTACTGTTCAATAACTCGGAATAATAATTTTTATACTGTCTGAAAAAAGTAAAAAAACCGAGTAAACCGAAAAAAATCAATTTTCCATGTTCCAATTCAGATAATCGAAAAAATACCTTGGCAGAGCACCTGTCCGGCAAACAGAAGATGTGGGATTATACCCCACTTGAGTTCGAGCCCGTGTGCCTCCGAATTTTTTAATTTGTGCATTGATAATTATTCAATTATTTCCCTCATATAGAGGTCCGGATAGTCGATGGATAGCATATAGCATCCCGCTTTCCAAGTAATTTATGTCTTAAAAACATCTAAGGTTAACCGTGTAGAATAGCCCAGGGGATAATACAGATGTTCAATAGACCGGTGAAAATTTCTTTGATTGTGAAAAAATACCTAGTTTTATTCTATGGAATCGAACAACCATTTTGAAAAAAAAAAAATTTTAATCGGATGAAAACTGTGGTGCGAGGAGCATTTCACAGCCAAAAATACGAAAAACGACGTTTTCGCCTGATGTACGGGATAAAATGGGTTGAGTACGAAATATTTCTTAGTTTTTTCGGTTTCTCATGATATATCAAACCTTGCTCCATAGTTATTTTCATCGACCCAAGACTTTTCAATTTCATCTGGGTCCCTCCTTGAACAATAGTGATGTTCGTTTGACTAGGATAGAATAGTTTGACACTGACGATAATTTTCATTTTGGACATAGAATTTTTCTTTATTTCTTTCTATTTTTTTGAGATCTCAGATTTTAATTTCCTCTCAAACTTCACAATGTTCATTTCTTCACAAGACTCTGTGCTATTTTTGCAATTCGAAATTATTTATTATCAGCAATACTAGACTGCCGATTGCGCACTAACTCAACCAAAATATTTCTATTCATGTTAACTTTCATTCAGAATTTGTTTCAGATTTCAATCTTCGAAATTCGCATTATCTTTATACTATTTTCCACCGTTCCGTCTGAGACGAATCCCTGATTTTTAAGTACGTGAATGATTTGAATACAAAATTCAATGTAATACAAATATGAAACAGCCCGAGTGGAAATTTTACTCAGTTAGCTTGGATCTACATTAGTTTTAGGTTCAATACTGGTCAGAATTTATTGATTAGACTTTCGGATCAGGATCTGATGAGATTCTGAATGGAGTATCTGTATTCATTGTGGCGGAGTGAATTGTGATACTATTCTGATCAGTCAAATCTCGACTAGATCCGTATCGGATCCGGTACTGTTCAGGAAGATCGAATCCTAGAATTTTGATCAGGCGTGGACCCAAATAAGCGTTACATTTCTGATCCAAAATTGATCAAAATCAGTTTTTACTGGTCAGTCTCTTATTCTATCCTAATTTGAATTTCCACTCGCGAGAGATTAAAAAAATATGAATTGTTTTGAGAACAAAATGGGTTTGTGATTCATTGTAGACCACAATGTCCTTATGAACCTACCCCAATTGAGTCGTTTTTTGTTGTTATAAAGCCCAATTAATCGTAATCCTAAACCTCGCTTCACTCGGTTCGATCGCGATTTTTGGGCCCAACGACAAAATAATACATTATTTCATCAATGTGATTTAGTTCTCGCCGTCGGCTCAACACATTCATCAGAAAATATTTTGTGAACCTTATGATGAAAATGAAAATATTCATCACTGATAATTTTTTATATGAAATGTAATTTTTTCGTTCATATTCTTATTAACAGCAATCTCTCGTTTGACTAGGGTGTTTTCAGGAGGGCAAAGCTGTTCATTTAAAAGTATTTCCTTCTCGATAGGATAGCCAGGACTGAACTAAAGCGGCGCTGCCACATGTCCATAACACGCAATTTTGAGGCACCCAAAAACAAATTATTCACAACAAAAGTTCAAGACTGTTGATAATTTTCATATTACACACAGAATTTTCATTTATTTCTTCTAGATTTTTCAACTTTGCAAAAGTAATGTTCTCATAAGACCCTGTATTATTTGTCACTTCTGAATTTATTATTATCAATAATACTAAATTGTCTATTGAGCACAAATTCCGTCTAAATGGCTTTTCACATTAACTTTCATATGAAATTCATTTCAGAGTTTAATCTTTTACAAGTCATACCTATTGTAATGAAAAAAATTTGTTCATTGAAAATATGACGCGATTGAAGGTTGCAATTGCTGTCATTGGGAGAGAAGACGAATTTTATCGTAAATAAAAAAGACGACCTGTTTAGCCCCACTTATTTTCGAGCTATGAAAAAAATTAATTCCATCAAATGAAAAATTCTTCATCCGTATCTGAAGAACTACTGATCCGAAATTAATAGTTTTTTTCCCGCAATTTAATCAGTAGAAAATTTTCATGGTCTTCTCAATGACACCACTGGCAACCTCCAATCTTGGCAAGTTCTCCAACAACAAAAAATTGTCCCTGAATTGAGAGCAATTTTCCATTCATTTTCAGTGGCAACAAAATTATCAAAGCGAAACAATTACATAATTGAATAATTGACGAATATTTATCTGGACTATAAAAAAATTGAAATCTTCTGTCATAATCGTTGAACTCGTGGCGTTGATGCCATAATGCTTTTCCTGTCTTCTTACGTAATTTTCGGCTTTACAGTTAGTCTGTAGTCTTCGATATTTCGACGTATACAAGGTGCAATCACTTGTTGCAGCGCAAACCAGTTGCTTTCGATAATCGAATCCGATTTCAAATTTATGCGTTAATACTTTCTTTGATGGCATTTCGAATGTACAACGAGTACAGGAACTTCCGCGGATAAATATACTGAGTGAACAACTCAATCAAATTCCGTCAAAGTTGTATGAACAGACTATAGTCAAGTGGCTATATAACTTGAACGGCAGTTTCCACAAAGTAGAAAATTTCAATATAATTTTTTTTTGAGTGATCCGATCATTTTCGAAAAATGAAATTTTTACATTCTTCATAACGATGTTATACAGAATGTATAAATTTGCATTTTTCACAATAATCATTTTCACCATAGAAAAAAATTGTATGGTGAGGAAAGGTGAATAAAAATTCCTCAGAAAATCGTGGCAAATTTTACTGTACACAGAGAGAAATTTTTGATAAAAATTATCCTACCGTTCTATAAAAGTTTATCATGAGTCTCCTCATTTCTATTTCGAAATTTAGGAAAAATTAATATATGATGATCAAATTTGATTCTACGTTCTGAGATAATAAATTTTACCCTTCCAGTCCAATAATTTTTATGTAGATAACAACGAAAATTCTAGAGCGGTTGGTAAATTTTACCAATTTGAAGTGAGGCAACGATGACTCATGATACGCTTTTATAGAACGGTAGGATAATTTTTATCAAAAATTTCTCTCCATGTACGAAAGGTAATGATGGAGCAAAATGTAATTCGATGAAAAAAAAAAATCTGTTCGTGGAGGATATCTTACGATTCGTCCGGTAAAAAAAATACATCTATGGATGCAAAAATTATTCTCCTGTACAGTAAAATTCTCCACACCAATTATTTCTTTTCGTGCACCCATGTGAGGGGCATGGGGACGGACGGAAGTGAAATTTTACCGAACGCATTCAGTAAATAATCATTCTCCAACACAGAAAAATCATACGCAATATTGTGGAGTTTTTCACGTTCACTGGGATTTTTCATTGAATGCGGGGTAAATTTTACGCTTTCAGTAAATTTTCCCGGACCAACGGAGAAATATTCACTATTCGTTTCGCCCTTTCCCCCGATATAGGGTGAAAAAATACTGAAAATCGTGTTCGCTTCAAAATTGCTTGACTTGTTCGGTAATATTTCTCTAACTTTTGCTCCGTGTGGATTGTACTCTTTTGACTCTGATGGCAACTATCGTCCAAGCTACATGGCCACTCAAGTTGTAGAGTATTACGCGGAAAATAATTTTTAAGTATTAAAAAAATAATTTATCGTTGATAATTTTTTAATGAATTTTAACTTTGATGAATGTATGAAATTAATCCATCATATTCTTTTTAAATTATTTTTCTTAAACAGTAGTCCTTTGTTGGATCCAGGTGTTTCACTCAATGGCAACGCTGCACATTTGAAATTATTTCCCTCTCAATGTAATGGCTAGCGCTCAACCAATGCAACGTTGTCATGTTGCCACCCAGACACATGGATTATTTATAATAAAAGTTTGAGGCAGTCAATAATTATCATATTGGGCATACAATTTTTATTAATTTTTTCTGTTTGTTCAAGTTTTTTCGTAGATTATATATTCTTTATCCTTAAAAATATAAATTTCTCGTAAGACTTATAAATTAATTATTATCAATAATATTTCACTGTCGAATGAGCGCGAATTTCATATAAATGTCGCTGTTTTCATTAACTTCCAGTTATTTCACATTCAATCTTTGAAAGTCCAGCTGTGTTAACACTATTTCGATTGATCCTTTAAAGTAGTATGGTCACGGATCGATTTCCAAGAATAAAATATGAAATAATTTTTTTATGAAAGTTAATATCAATAAAAACCTCCTTGTGCAATTTGTGGTACATTGATCGTTTAGTATGGTTGATAAGAATTAATGAAAAACTAGATTTTAACACAGAGTCTTATGGGCAAATCACATTTTTGAGTGGTTTTTATGATGAATCCAAGATTAAATTATAAAAAAAATACCAAAAAATGGGGAAAAAAAATTTACGATCATCGACGGAAATTATTGACCGTTTGGGACTTTAGTTATAAATAATTTCTGCGCCTCGGTGTTCGGAAATTGCGTGTCGAGTAGATGCGGCAACGACGCGTTAGTGGAGTGGGGACAAGCGGGCATTTCAAATCTTGTTTTCCCTACGCTGTTACAGCGTTGCAATACATAAAACGACGCTAGTCAAAGGAGGTAAATAATTTGACTAATAAGTGACAAATAATAAAAAAAATCGATTAATTCTTATATTCATAAATTTTATCATTCACAAAGAGAATTTTCAATTATAAATCATAAATTTTTGATTAATTTTTTTAGATTTTCTTGACGGACACTCAACGATCACTTTGGAGAGTGACCATACTACTTTAACAATTATTCAGCTTCCACGAAATTGAAAGAGGATATACAAATCCATAAAATACATATTTTAATTTCCTCATTAGTTGTGATAAAAAGAAAATATATGAGTAAATATGTGAATTATTTCAGAATAATTAGAATGTGTATTTAAATAACTCAGTTTAGAATAAATAAATAAATAGCTAAAAAAATAAAAATACGAATGAAGTGATTGATGCATGAAATTACTGCGGTAATTCCCTATACAATTTATAAATAATCGAATCCGAAGTTTTATCACTAAGTGCCTTGGTAGCCAAGTCATCAGCCAGCATGGCTGCAACAGCCTCGGCAGCGACTAAACCTGCAAAGTAAATTCGACATGCTGTAATCAACAAATAATGATTCCTTCGAATTTGCAAAACGAGATATCATAATAGCATGTGTCATAATCTCAAACTCGTCCCGTCGATTCCATAATGGCTTATGTAACTTTCGTACGTTGTGTGACACAAGTATACAGTACAGCACATGATCGATAGTTCAATAATTTAGAAGTGAAATGGTGAAGCAAGATAACTCAATCATTTCACTCAGAAATTACTTCCCTTATTGTAAAATATCTTAAAATCTAGCGCAATTGAGCTCTCAATTTCTTTTATCAAACAGATTCTACGAAAATGCATGGTGTCCCAAGATGATTTGTACGGCTAAATAACTAGTTAAAAACTAGTTTAACGCGAAAATGTTTCAGACCAAAGTGATAGCGCTTCAAGGGGGAAAAATAATGAGAAGCATATTTTGAGCAATTTTATGTTTCCATGTTACAAGCATAAGTTAATTTTTTTTAAATGGCACTAACAATTTTCGTCTTACAAAAGTTGTTGTACTCGGTCAGACGAATACAATGGTATCACACATTAAGTATTTTTTTATGTTTTTGGGCTAATATTACAAAAAAATGAATAAGTTGTACTGTGATCTATCATATCGGGCACTAATTGCCCCATTTTTATTTGAAGGTCCATTGTTGTAATCGTCTCACCGAGTACAACAACTTTTGTAAGACGAAAATTGTTGGTCCTATTTAAAAAAATGAACTTATGCTTGTAGCATAGAAACATAAACACTTATGCTCGAAATATGCTTCTCATTATTTTTCCCCCTTAAAGCCCTATAACTTTCGTCTGAAATATTTTCGCATTCAACTACTTTTTAGCTAGTTATTTAATCGTATAAAACATCTTAGGACACCCTGTTTATCAATTTCTCTTAGTTTCAACCATTCTGCAAAAAATCGTATCGAATTAAAAACATTAATTGGTAATTTTTGATAATAGAGATATACCTTGATTCAAGATCTCCTCTACAGGTCCTTTGTCATCCATTCCCTCAAGATCAAGGTTCTTATCAGCAGCTTCGAGTTTCGCTCTAGCAGCTCTCACAATCATCGTATTGTCCCCGGTCTTCTTCAATTCGACCGTAAAATCACCAACGAGTTCAGCTAATCGAAGAAAGACGAAAATTTAATATTTCCTTCTATTGCACAATGTGCCAAAGGTGGAGGTGTTTAAAGAAAATCCGTATATTTTAATTTCTTGGGGCAGAAAAAAATTAACACTCAAATGGACACAGTAATTCTTGCAAATTTATTTTCGATGAGAATCAGTTGGGTGAGAATTTCGATTCAAATTTTTATGAAATTGTTTGAGACTATTCCGGGAAAAATGAACGCTAAATGGGAATACATGAAAAGTAGATATTCATTTTTACTTGTCACCCTGTAATTCAAGATCCATGAAAATCTTAAATCGTTTTGCAAGAAAATGATAAAAAAATTGACATCACTCACTAAAGTTTCCATCCAGTCGACCGTCCCCTCGTAAAACCTGCTCTCCAACTTTTCCCATCAAAACATATCCTGCCTTAACACGCATCGAGGGCACGCGTATCTTCACCACCAGGTGCATAATATCATCCTGCGAGACAAAATAAATGTAAACACCCAGTAGTCTCCTAATTATTCAAAATTACATGTCTTACATCATCATCCTCTTCCTCGTGCGCTCGTTTCAATCTTCTACTTTCGATTGCACTGGAATTATTATTATCGTCACTTGGGTAGTGGTAAATTATCTCCAGTCCCTCCTCGAAGTATCCCTCCTTTTCTTGATGACTCTTGGCGTATCTTATTAAATCCTCGATTCTTCGCGTCTCCTCGGCGAGTCTAATTCGATCGTTTTTCTTCAGTAATGACTCACCTTCGGTGAAGTTGTGGATTATGAATCTTCTGTGGTTTTCCAGATCCTGCACATTAAGAAATCAATCCCATTAATCACTCTTTTTTTTACTTCCATTACGTTGGTAATGAAATTTTTATTCCCCAGATGGATTTTCCGTCTTTTACGAATTCTCGGAAAAATATCCTCGAAGGAAAAAAACAGAAATAATTGAAAAATTTTGGAACTTTGTTTTGCTTTACTCATTCGATCGTAATATCATTCGGTATAAATTGTTAGAAGATTACTCCTGAAATTACAAGTAAAAAATCTTGATATTTTTAACAATCGCTCATTCACACAAAATTTTTACATATTTTATTATTGAAACGTCAGTTGAATTGCGGAGAATTCAATGGAATTGCATTTTTCAGGTCTACACGATAATGAAAATTATTAAATACTTTGAAAATTCAAACAACTATTTCCCCAAATTTCCAATCCACTGAAAATTCAGTTGGATGTGATGTTCAATTTCCGCAATGAATTTGAAAATTCTAGATGTCATTGAAAGATCAGGGATAGTCTAACATGGAAAACCCAATGATCCTGAATTTCCAACTTGAATGAGGGATTCCATGAACAATTTGATCTTAAATTGAACTCAAATTCACAACATTGAGAATTCAAGTGCAACTATTGCTTAATTTTCAAAAAATTTCTAACAGTGTACGGCGGTCTTAATGAATTATTTGTTATGGTGATTTTGCCATACTACTGGTTTCAGTTTAAATTTTTGGTTAAAAATAAATTAATTTGTTTCTTTTTAATTAGTATATTATTTGAGGATGAAAGCGAGTGTGATTTCCTTTTTATTATCTGCGCGATCGGCCGCGCGTGCTGCCCACGCGCCTTCTCACCTCCTCACGTAGTGGCGCTTTGGTTTCAGTCTTACGCTTACGCTTATTCGAGATTTTCGAGATCGATTTCCTTTCTCCTTTTTACGACAGGATTATTTTTTGAAAAAGAGAGACATGTAATATCGAGATGTCTTGACTTTTTTGTTCAAGTTTTCGTTGGTTTTTGTCGAATTTGCACGGAGAGAAATTTTTGATAAAAATTAATCTATCGTTCTATAAAAGTGTATCATGACTCATCGTTTCCTCATTTCTATTCCGAAATTTAGTAAAAGTTAATATATGATGATCAAATTTTATTCTACGTTAGAGAAATTTTATCCTGATAAAAATAAAAATTACCGCGTTGGTAGAGTAAAAATTACTGTACCACTAGGGTAAAATTTACCAACCGTTCTAGAATTTTCGTTATTATCTACATAAAAATTATTGAATTAAAAGGGTAAAATTTATTATGCGTCAGGATAAAATTTCTCTAACGTAGAATAAAATTTGATCATCAAATATTAATTTTTACTAAATTTTGGGATAGAAATGAGGAAACGATGAATCATGATGCACTTTTATAGAACGGTAGGATAATTTTTCTCAAAAATTTCTCTCCGTGTGGTGTTTAAAAATATTAACGTATTTTTGAGGGAGATTTTAGCAGTGCTATTTCCCTCATTTCCTCCGGAGAAGAAATTCCTTAGAATCAATTACGTTTTATGAACTAACCACAATTCGATACACCTAAAAAAACAAGCTTTATTTTGAGACTTATGATTTTAAATTGATACTTTTGAAAGCCTCTACTTGGGATTTTTTAACCCTTAAAAAACATGGGGATACGTTCGCAATAGATGATGAATAAATGAATTTTGAATTTCACAAATTTTCTTTTGAATCCATCTTTTCGCCTCAACCTGCCATTTTTTTGTTCATGGAAATTAGATAATGCATGATTACAATGTTCAATTACTAAAAACAATGAATTTTTAGTCGTACTCTAGAGACGCGAAAAATTTATGAAATGAGGGAATCCCTGCTGAACGATACGCAACCTATAGGGCGCCACTGTGGAGCCAGTGAGATACTAGAAAAGCGCGACCACTTAAGGAAGGGGTAACGGAACCGACCACAAAAAGACGTTTACCAAAAACAAGTTTTCTTGGATTCTATGCAATGAGAATCAATGAAACTTTTTCCCCGTATTGAAAGTAGTGGAACGCATCACTCTCTTCTCATACTTTTCTTATTTATGCACAAAAAAATTGCAAATTATTTAACGGCAAGGACCAGAGTAAGGGCGACGCCATTTTATTTGTAGGAATCTGCCAAGTCATGGTAGAAAAATCGATTTTTTGTAGATTTTTCTTAGCCGATGGCTATTTTCATGAGAAGAGAGCGATCGAGTGAGGTCCAAGACAGAGATTTTGCGTACAAAAACGTACTTTTGTTGCGTAATTTTCGTAAAAAATTGTTTATGATGATTGGGTGGTATCCAGGAGGTAACACGTCCTTTACAGGGCACCAATTGTAAGAGGGAAGTACTTTTACGAGTCAGAAGATGATGTAGAATGTTTCCATACCATTATTATTTATTTATATCCATTTATTTATATTTTATGGGCATTTGTACTTTTCGCGTACAAAATAAAAAAAACCACGGGAACCTGCAATACCGATAGGGGGGGCCGCTAACCTCTACGTGCTACGGGTTCCGTTACCCCTTAAGAGGCAATGGAACTTACCATCAGAGTAGACATTGGATTCCAATTTCGTTTTTTCGTCGTCAGATGAGTATTTAGCAAAATCCAAATTCTTACATCTTCAATAATCTTCGTATCTGATGCGTAAGAATTTGGGTTTTGCTGAATAGTCGTCTGACGACGAATAAACTTGGAATGCGATTTCTACTTTGATGGTAAGTTCCATAATCATAAATAAAAAAAAATGATAAGTTCCACTGCCGCTTAAGGATTAATGTCTCAAATTAAAAGTGTCAAAAGTCTCAAATAAATGCTTGCAAAACTCAAGTAAAGAAAAATTTCAAGTTTTGTTCAGAAAGTCTTAATTTCCGGCATTCAAAAGTCTCAATTTGAACCTATGAAAGTGTAATATTGGGACCTTCGAAAGTCTCAATTTCAGACTTTCAGAAGGCTTAAACTGAGATCTACAAGTCTCAAATGGAGACTGTTGAAACTTACACGTTAAAGCGTTCAGGCTTCAAATTAAGACTTTTAAAAATCTTATTTTGAGTCCTTTAACCCTAGTCTGGTCACCAAACGCGACCCTGCGACTTGGTCACCTCCGCGGGGATTCGCCACCGTGTTATTTAGGCTTTAGCGTTGCCGAATCCACTCTACACTGGCCACGCGCGTTTAGCGAGTTTCTGGCAACGTCGCGTCAAGGGCCATTTCATTTAACATGGGAAAAAATAATTCATCTGTCTGAAATGATTTGTTTTCTTTAGGAATTGTGGGAAATATATTGTTCTAAAAACTACTATAATTTTTTAGACACTTCAATTGACAAAGTCAATTTTTTTTTAATTTTTCCGGTTAGCCAGTCAATTGTAATTAAAGAAAAACGACGCGCGGCGGGTTTTCCTCATCGGGCGACCAATCTACGGTTAAAATCTGAAAATGTTTTTTTTTCGGTGTACATGAAGAGAATATTTGAATAATTAGAGAATGATAATTACCCTTACGGCATCTTCGAAACTGTAAACAGTCATATCTCTCGTACTATCAATCCTCAAATTTCCGAAATGTCTCATCCTATTCTTCTCATTCTTATTGTTACGATTATTATTATCCACATAAATGATGTCAATATACCCTGGTTGATTCTCCAACCTCTCGGAGAACTGCTGATTCTTATCTTCAGCCACAGGTCCATTTCGACCATTATCATCTGGGACTCTGGCATAAACACCATTATTGGGACCTGGATATCTGACTCGCGCTCTATTTCCCTCCCCAGCTCTGAACCTTGCCCTTGTCTCAAATGTCATCGATTCAGCACCGAAATTCTCCTTTCGTCTGTCAGCAAATCCTTGTGAATTGAATTGTGCTGAGTCTGAGTTCGCGGGTCTTCGATATATGCAGCCGAATTGAGATTCTGCGCAATCCCGATCATCAGTTTCATCAGTTTGTCGGTTTTGATTGGAATAACGTGATGGATTCACTTTAGAAGTTTTAACTCCAGCATGTTGATTAGATGACTGATCTTCATATCTTTGTTGACTGTTCTGGAGTCTTGAATATTGTCCTTGATTACGAGTTGCTTCAGCATATTCTCTCTGATTGTCCGGAGTCGAAGAAAGTTTCTGGTAATATCTGGTTTCTTCAGTATATTGTCTCTGTGGCTGGCTTTCCGAACTCACTGAAATACGCTGACTACTTCGATATGGTTGGCTTATCTGAGACTGTTGATAACGTCCCTGATTCTCTTGGCTCTGGTCATATTGCTGAGAAGATGAAGATCTCAGATTCTCAAACTGAGGGCTCCCATTTCGGTTATAAACCGATTCTCTTTGATTTTGATAATTTTGACTGAACCTGTGTCTCTGATTCTGATTCTCATAAGTCCCCGAAGGATAATATACCGGGATTGACTGATAATTACGACGTCCTTGAATCGGAGCTCGAGATTCGTCGGCGTAAATACGAATCCGTGAAAACTGTTGTTGATTGTTCTGGTTATCATCTCCATTAACTCTTCTAAAGTCATTTCCCTTGAATCTATCAAAGTCACTTCGTCGACGAGCTTCACTCCCCTCGATCGATTTAACTTTCAATTCCTCAGAGTCTGGGGTCTTTGGCTCCTTGACAACTGTGTGGAACCGGTATCTGATGGCGTCCAATTTCCCAGCGTCAGAGTAGCTGACGTAGCCCGCCTCATACTCACTCAAATTACTCTTCATTCGTCCTCTGCCAATCTGCACACTCTCGATGGTGGATTCGTTCAACCCCGTGACCTCCACGTCACTCAGGATCATTCGGTAACGAATGTTACCTTGAGATTGATCGACCTTCACCAGTGGCACGAGGAGAGGATCCAGAGGGCCGATTTCTGATAAACTTCCGTTCAACAATTTTGACCAGAGGATTTGGGACGCGTCCAGGAGATCGTCACCACCTGAGACATTTGAAGCTGTCAAGATGCATAGGAGTAAGATCTTGATAAAAATTGCCTCCATTTTTTCTTGTTTTACGATGCTACAGATTTTTTAAAGATCTGAGATCATAGCCAAATTAGTATCTTTCTCTATTTTCTCTAAACTCCCAAATAACAAGTGGCTGGTAGATTATCACGAGGATGATCACTATGATAATCAGAATAGTCAGTGAAAATGAAACCACAATACACATGAAATTAATTCACATTTTATTCAAGCGGGATCAAATAAAATTGGTTGTTTCGTTTGTAGGCGAGTGAAATGAACTGAGTAACGCAATCTGGATGCATCGGGGCTTTTTATAGTTGAATTAATAGTGAAGCCGTACGCAAAAAGGATATATAAACTGGGCCATGGACCGCAGTATTGTTGGTAGTTTGAGAATAATGTCCATCTCAAGTGACTGCCATGAATTTTTCAAATCATTTATGGACGTGTATGGGGGGCAAGGTTCGTTGGTGACATTGAGGCCAGGTTGATGCCACTTGATCGCATGATCATTGAGGATAAAATTCCTTCAACTAGATTGCTAATTTCAGGTGACGGCTCCAGTTTTGATGAATTAAATATTGATGAATCGTTATTGTTTCAATCCGTTGGTTGAATTACTCAAAGTAGTTTAAAAATTGTGAAATTATGAGACGATTACCAAAGTTGTTTTGTAAATATCAGCGGATTTTTTTGTGACACATGGAACAAACATTTGCATCAGCGAATTTTGTATTCGTTATTGAGCTCTTTTGAAATTTTCAATAAAGAAGATTTAGTACATTCACTGTCACAACGCAGTCAACATGTATCGGATTATCTTCCCACTTTTTCTATTTGAAGTTGTGTTAATTGAAAACGGTTGGACGGAAGAAATACGTGAGTAATTCGATTATAAAAATATTATATAATAGGAGATTTTTGTAATCTGAGTGACGTGTTATGCAGTCTCGTACTGTAAATGGTTCGCATGGTATGAGTCACAGATACAGCTGCTCTAGATGCAGGAATCTAGGCGATTCTATTTGTAGCTTAAGGATTTGCAATTAAATTGTGTACTTGACTAATTTGGAACACTTTATTACATTAGAGATACCATCAGTGTTGAAGATATGTAATAGAAGCAATCCACATTTGAACGAGTGCATCAAATACAGTGTGGATTCCCTTAAGCCCTATCTCAAGAGTGGAATACCTGAATTCAATATTCCACCTTGTGAGCCACTTCATGTGCCTCAGGTGGAAATCAAGCAGGATGCTGGACCTGTGTCAATTAGCTCTAATTACTCCAATATTAAAATTGCTGGGGGATCAGATTTCAATCTGAAAAGTGTTAAGTAAGTTGTGAGAATTCATTAAAAAGTGGTTTATTTAAATTCATGTGTGTCCTTGAAAAATGACATTTTTTAATGTTCACTAAAACAGTTTGTTTTATCCATTAATAGCATCAAACACGTGGTGAATATTAGTGACAATTTGAAAATTTCAGAACTTATATTATAGATACCGAGAAATGAAATCAACAAAATCAATCTTGCACACGGTCTCTTGTAGAGCTTCGGGACACCGTTGATTTTCAGACATGTGCCGACACTCGCGTTTTAATGCGTAATTCTTGTTTTAAATAATAAAATATGATCATTGAACGTCAAGTAAACAATTTTCAATTAATTTTAGGCATTGCAATTATTTGTTAGTAACAATTAAATTATTCAAATCGCCATAACACCCAAAGTATGAAGAATAGACGACAATTTAAAATTATGAAATATCTAGAATTTAATCCCTCACGTACGGCGTCGATATCATGTATCGACCCGTAAGCTTGTCGTATCGGCCGGGATCAATGCATGGTATCGATCCTTTCCGTCAATAGTAAAAAATCATTTTCTCGAATTCTAAGAGACATATTGAAATTTGGAAAAGATATTTGGAAAGTCAACAGAATTGTCTCTGCAGTGAACTATTTTATTTTTTTTCAATGCATTTATAATATTTTTTTCTATGAACAAAAGTTGTAGATGAAAATTGTACGTCGGACCGATTCAATCATATTAAATGATCTCGTTTATCGACAAAATTTCCTCCAAAAATTTTGAAATGTTTACTGAAAATACTTTAACGATTCTTCTATCGAATGGCACAAGTTAAATTTCGATTTGTCGAATAATTTGTTTGTTATAAATAAATTTAGCATGTTCGAAGATCTCGATAACCAATTGTTGGCAAACATTGAAATTGGTGTCAAAAATTAGAAAATTATGGGGAAAAAATAGTTCTTAGGGAGTTTATTTCAAAGTTCAATGCAGCCAATGCATTTGATTTCTATTTTTTTCGTTCAACTGTTTCCAAGTTATCGCGCATTGAATAACGGAGTTGACGCGGCTTAAGTCTCGCGGCCGTTGGGACAAGCCGCATGATATGGACGCCGCACGTGAGGGGTTAATAAGGAATGATATTTGTCTATTATCAATTTTACGTATCTCTCGTAGATTCCGAGATATGAGCAATAAACTAATTACGCGACCCGACGTAGCGCTCTCTAGTCCATACGCAATACCCCCTTCTCGTGTGCACTAAAAGGGCGGAAGAATATCATCGTTTTTTCTTATGTTGTTTGGCTTCAACAAACCGAATCTGTTGATATTTTTTCTCTCCGACCGTGTATCTGAAAGTTATTAACAATCCCATTGTTTAAACCGAGTTCACGGGACAGCTATGAGAGATGAAGAAAAATACTTCGAATAAAAGATCTTGCTTTCGTTGAGTTAAACATATTTCATCTGATGGATTTTTTTCTTATTCAAATTATTCAGCGAAATATTGAGGGTCAAACGAATCGTTCCGTTTGTCGACGCGGGGCAGGGTGGGACGTCGCGGGGTACTGTGCCCCATGCATTTCCACGGGGAATTTGAATCCCGGATATCTCGAAAAATAATCGAGATACGAGAGAAATCGATAAAAGCAAATATGTTCAGTTTTACAAAAGGAACATCTTTTGTTGGAACTATTTTCTTGTATCTCTAATAAGTTTCAAGAAAACTCGGTTTAAACAATAGAATTGTCAACAACTTTTGGATGCACAGTCTCAGATAAAAAACACTGACAAATTTGGTTTCTTCAAGGCAAACAACATGAGAAAACACAGTGATATTCTTCCGCCCTTTTAGTGCACACGGGAAGGGGGTATTGCGTATGGACTACTCTGCTTGCGGTGCGCGGTGGGTTTCAGAGCGCTGTGTTGGGTCACGCAATTCCTTCCTTGCTCATATCCCGAAATCTGAAGGAGATATGTGAAATTGACAAAATACAAAAATTATTCCTTATCAAATTCTAAATGATTCGTGATGCGAAAATTTTCGTATATCTTACATAGTTTGGGCGCTGGGGCAATTTGAACGATTAAATTGTTGATAATTAATAGTTGCAATGCCTAATATTAATTGGAAATTGTTTACTGGACGTTCCGTGATCATATTTCATTGTTCAAAAAAAGCATTGCCCATTGCAATGCAAGTGGTTGGTCCATCAATTTAGAAGCGCTTTTTGGGGGCATCCCGCAGTTCTATTATAGAGGTGTGACTTTAGTGAAACTTCCACCCCCCTCCCCCCCCCCTCCTAGGGGATCAAAAAGATATGGTAATATAGTGAATGGTGTGTTCAAGGCGAAGGTGCCAAAAAATACTGGGGTACAGCGTTGAATAAGAGAGATATTCGAACCCTCCGCACCCATTTATAGTCCAGACGGGGACATGAAAAACTGAAATTAATGTGAACAGTTGAAACTTGGTTTTCGATGTGCTGCAAACGAAATTTTATTTAAAATTCAATGCAAATACTCTTGAAAATCAGAATTTTTTCATCTAATCTTGGGGATTATCGTCACTAAAAATTATTGCCAATTTTAAAACCAAAAGTCTCGAAAAATTACGGATAATTCCCGAAAAACTAAAACATTTTCTTCTTTTTTTTTTGTAAAGAATTTCTTCCAATATTTGTCTCTGAATCTGATAGATCTCGGGATATCAAAAATTTATATCTATTCAAAATTGCTTCTTGACGTTTTAAATTATTTAATAATTCTAGGATTGATGCCGATAATGATCGAATTCGTCTGAAACTCTACATTCCGCGTTTGACAATGACATCCAACTACAACATGTCAGGAAAAATTCTGATGCTACCAATCACAGGTCACGGACAAGCACGCGGAAATTTCTCCGATATCGACGCAATCGTCACAATTCAGGGTGAACGTTATCAAGGCAGCAACACCACACAGATATATTTCAGAGTTCTAGACTGCTATTGTGATTTTGAAGTTGGCCACGCTAGCCTGTATCTTGAGAATCTCTTCAATGGTGATGAGACCCTTGCTGACACCATGAATCTGTTTCTCAATGACAATTGGAGAGCAGTGGCTGCTGAGATTAAACCAGCACTCGAAGACACTGTCGGCAGAATGTTTAAAAATTTCTCAAACAAAATTTACTCCAAATACCCACTCGATCAGCTTCTACCCCCCTAATTGATGTCAACCAATCGAAATGGAGTTCCACACTAAGAGAAAAGTCGACATAATATCACAAAAATCATTTCTTGAGCGAAAAACATCGCGTACATATTTGGAGGAGGAAGTTAGTGAATGATTTTTTTTTTCGAAATGAGATAATATTCCTTCAAAGATAAGAATAGTTTCGTACTCAACGCGATTGAGCGTAAGCGACGGTTATATTTTGGTAATATCTGCAGGTTTTCCTCTGCATAAACTCTCTATTAATTCAATATGAAAGTCTCTGATTCATGATGCACTGAATCGAAGCTTTCAATATTTTTATTCATTTTCTCATCTTCTGACACGAAAAAACCGATTTCTTGTGACAAGAAATTCTCACTTTATCGTGAAATATTCATGTTCAAGTCCTGAATTAATACTTTACCGAAATCTGACATTGTCTGACACATTCCGGAATTCTTATCCCAAGAAATTTATCCTCAAGAGATGAGATATTTAGCGTTTTGTGATATGACGATATTTCTCTTAGTGTAATTATTAAAAATTGAACTGTTCATAATTGTAGTTAATTTTATAATACAACACAACATTTTCTATTCGTTCAGGTAACATTATTTCTTTAAGAAAATGTTCATTTTTAATGTATAAAATATACAAACTGAATAGTTTTTTAATTGCAGTATAACACAATTAACAAAAATAAAAATTACAGTAATCTTTCTATAGATCGCGTAATCTCTCCATCTATGACAGATAGAGAAAAATTTTAAGTGAAAGATGACAAAAATACTCAAATGATATCAATGTATCCTTCACCAACAACACAGGAAGTCATTTTGCCGGCTGTGCTAAAGCGCATTAGATCTCGCGCGTTAAAGTCTCCGATGATTATGAGGGGATAAAGCCACTGGGATTAGAAGAAGACGAGGGTCTGATCACTGAAGAAATCACTGGACCACTCGATTAGAAATCAAGGAAGAAATCACTGGAAATCAAGTGATTTCCATTTCCGGTAGCGATTTCTAATGACTTCTGGAAATCATTGGAAATCAGCAGAAATCATAAGAAAATTAGGTGATTTCAGAAATAATTAGAAATAATCGATTAAGGGGAGACTACTGTGAGTTTTAAAAGTCGTGGGTTATTAGCGTGAGACTTTTCATACATTGAAGATCAATTATATAGATGTGAAAACGAATAATTAGTGGAAAATTTTTTTTTTATTGTTCGTTTGACCGAAAACGCTTAAAATACCAAAAACAGTTCAGGGTCTCCAATTTTTGAGCTACGGAGGATTTTTTTTTTTCAAAATTTTCGGAAAAATATGTGGAATAACAATTACGAGTTTTTTTTAAATTCGCCTCTTGCATGGCTAAATTTGCTTTTCTTGTATTTTTTTACACAAATAGTGAATTTTTTTACGTAACAAAAAACCGAAATCAGCTGTGTAGAAATCGAATTCCAGAAAACTGGCTCGTAATTGTTGTTTCACACATTTTTCCGAAAATTTTGAGAGAAAAAATCTTTTATAGCTCAAAAATTAGAGGCCCTGGACTGCTTTTAGCATTTTAAGCGTTTTCAGGCAAACGAACAATAAAATTTTTTTTTTTGCACTAATTATTTGTTTTCAGATCTATACAATCAATCTTCAACGTATGAAACGTCTTACTCCAATAACCCACGACTTGTAAAACTCACAGTAGTGTCCCCTTAAAGTGAAACCCAATTTTTTTATTCGAGCTCCGTCATACGATCCCGTTTGACCTTCATGACCTTCTTATGCATATGTCATTTAACTTTTACTACACGGAGAAAAAAATAGAAAAATTATTGTGCTTGTATAGTAAAATGGGTTCATTTGGACAGACCCGGAAAAATTACCGTGCCAGGACCGGAATTTTTGCTGCGCGCTACAGGAATTTTTCTCGGATTTATTGCGAAAAATTCTTATACTCCACAGTACATTTTTCGGTGCTGGCACGGTAATTTTTCCGAGTCCGTCCAAATGAACCCATTTTACCGTGCCAGCACAGTAATTTTTCTGGTATTTTTTTCTCCGTGTGTCATATTCATAAGGCCCTTCTAAACTCTTTGGGTCCCTGAATCTTACCCATATGCGATTATAGACAGATGCCCCACTTTAGCCCCGAAATCATGATTTTTCGAGTTATTTCATAAAATCAAGAAATCATCAGAATCTACTAGAAATCATGGAAATCACGAAAAATTAAAAGAAATCATGATTTCTAATTCTTATTAAGAAATCACAGAAATCATTCAAGAAATTACAGGAAATCATCCCATTCTGGAAATCACTGAGCCACGCGCGTGAGGAGTGATCAGCCCCTCGGAAAAAGAAGTAGTCTCCGAATCGTTAGAATGGATTCAAACGAATAGAAAAGAAGATGATTCAATAATGGATTCCCCGGTGCAATAATGCATGAATCCTATGCGGGTCTGTCCTTGACCCCAAAGGAACTTTCGAAAAGACTAGAAATCGAATGGTCGGTAGTGAGACAAGACCTATCCTTTCGATGTGGTTCCACGAAATTTGTAGACATTTTTCTTTGATCAGTACAGGGTCAGTGGTTTTGATTGCCCGGTCTATCACCAGCCTTCCCTCAATGTCACCGACTCAAACAACTCGTCAAGGAGAAAAATGTAGAATGTCATTCAAGAGACCCTCTTAATGGTAATTGTTCACTTATTCAGGAATCGCTGCATCGAAGAGTTGCGAAAATACATTTGCTCACATCTGCATATTCGCCTGCATACGCGACATGCGACATAATATCACAATTGGTCGTGATCTCTGCTTCCATAATTTACCTCTTCGAAGAATACGGCAAAAACCTCTCCGCAATTCACTGCCAATATCTCCGATGCCTCAATTATCGCCGATTTTACCGCATCGAAAATTACTTCTTCAATAATTACAGAAAGAATAAAATTGCAGAATTGTAGCTAGCCGATTGATAATATTTACAACTAGTTTCTCAATATCTACCCTTTGCATTCCCGTCACGCCATAAACATAAAACTTGCGGAGAAGGAACTAAAAAAACATTGAGAATAGAAAACGAACATTACATTATACTGAACACGCGCACGGAAATTCAGCTTTGTTTGAAAACAGAATGGAGCAATGCTGCAATATCTGCATAGATCAACATAATTCTTTACTTTATGTTTCCTTCCATTAGTTTGACGTCGAAGATTTTCTTGAAAATTGTTTCAATCCCGGAAAAAACTTCAGTTTTTTCAGGTAAGTAGTGAAGTTTATTAACTTTCGAAAAAACTGATAGAATTAAGAAATGGTTTTTGTTAATATGGATGGTAATCCGTTGGTTGACTTTTAGGACGAATTTTCTAATATCGATGCTTAGGTATTTTTATTTTTACCTATTTTGTTCTTTTTGATTCCGAATGGAAGCTTTGTAATCGTGTTTTTTTTTCTATTTCTTAATTTTGGGTGGAAATGCCTAAAATGTCATGAAACGTGAAGAAATTATGTTTTTAAAAACTGTCTGTATGTGTATAGGTATATGTGTGCACATGTGTGTTCGTATGTCCAGAGCTGTCCCATAATTCGAGAATTATTGAGCTAAAGATGCTGAAATTCTGGCTGCTAATTGGTACTACTGAGACTCAAATTTACGCTAAATTTCAGCTCGATCAGTTGAGCTCGATCAGTTCCTGAGATATAGCGATTCTTTGAAAATCGTTTTTTCCGATATCTTCTGAACCATTTGACCGAAGCGATTTTTTCTTTTTTCAAAATACTTGTCATGATGATACCTACTTAATTGAATTGAAAAAGACCATTACACCCTGAGCAATGTAGTTTTATTCTCGTTTTTTCATTTTTTCGCTGAAATCGCTTGTTCGCACGATAAATTGAACATAATGGAGATAAAAACCTGAAAATTGGTATGAAAGTTTGGATGAATTCTGGGTGAACGAAACCAGACCAGTAGTTTTGGAGATATTCAACTTTGTATGTGAAACATTTTTGCTCAATATCTCAAAAACTATTGGTCCGATTTCAATTTTTTTTTCCAAATGTGCGTTTTGGTGTCATCTATCTAGATCCAATGAAATATGGGTACCATCCCACTGCAATTTTTTGAGATATCGTCGTTTTTTCATTTTTTGGTCGGAATTCACTTTTGCGCACTATGACATGGGTACAAGTCAGAAAAACCTTTTGAAACTTTGGCTTCTACTTAGTATTGTCAAGGAACATTTCTATATCAAATTTTGGGTCGATATATTTGATAGTTCTTGAGAGGAAACAATTCACCCACAATTCCTGAGAAAAAAAAAATTAACGCATCTATGTTTCATCGTACATTTTCACATCAGGATAACTGAGAAAGCCATATAACTTGAATATATGGTTTTTTCAAATTTATTTTATAGAAATAGGGGGAAATGAAAAAAAAAAGAGAATCCTTATGCCTTAATTTTTTGAAAACATACATTGGGATCCATTGGAAAACCTACTACGAATGAAATTGGTAGAAATGAAAATAAGAGAAACAAAAATACGTAGAGGGTCTCAGTCATATGTAATCAATCAAATGGCTTTTGTCGCGCTGCTTCTTTTTCATACTTATCTCGAAATTTCGATTCTGAAAAGATGAAATAAGATGCAATACACTACCCTGTGATGACAAAAATGTTATTTGCATAACCGCCCATGAAAACGAGCTGGGAACAGGGAGCATATGACAGTGAGCACGTCAATGAGTGATGTCTTTTTTTTCGTCAGCAATTCATCGATGATGGGCTTCCGAATCATCTGAAATATTATAAAAGTTTATAGCTATACAACAATAACTAGCAGCAAAAATCACCTAAATGGGGATATGGTGGCTTTCATATCTCGAAGAATCTTTTAATTAGCAGTAAAAAATTATTTATGAAGATATCGAAGCAAAGAATAATTAAGTTGAGAAATAGTTGAATGCAGCTGAAACCACTAAGTTCTTCCTGAATTGACAGTCTTCAGAGATTTCTGCAAGTCCTCATTGGTATATTTGAGGGCTTTTTTTTTGTATTTTTGTAATTTGTTATATTCGTTATTTTTATTTTTATTCTCATAATTTTTTCATTATCTAATGCACGAGAGTTTCAGAAAATAATATATCTTTATGAAAGCAAAGAAACTGACAGAAAAAAAACATTGAGGTTAAGGGTTGGAAATCAAATGTGCGGGAACTCCTCCAACCGCGAATTCAGTCGTCCGAGATGCCGGATTTAACATTTCCTCCATAAAAAACAATTATTTTTCTCTTTTTTTCATTTCAGCTTTTTCCAAATTTGTTGCTCAACTACTAGAAACCTATTAAAATCAATTGTTCACTTACATTTTGCTGTTTGATCCTTACGCAATATCGATGATTTTTAACGTTCGCGCACTACACAACCACCAGCTCAGAGACCAGCCATGGATACTCTTACGTAGATTAATTTCTAATAATTGTATGAAACTCGTGGAACATTCGTCAATAGTGTGATTTGAAGGGGAATAATTGGACAATCGCATGTAACAAAATGAAATGCACATGATGACTGTGAATGTGATAAATGCTAAATTCTATCCTAAGAGCGCTCTGCGTCCGGGAAAGGGGTCCCGTGCGGCAATTGGGACACTCACGGTATGTTGAAAACAAAAAAATTAAATCGGTCCACTAGGTTTGAAGATATTTGCGGAACGCAATTTAAAAATGAATCGCTTTTTCTCAAAAACTATTAGATCTATCGAGCTGCAATTTCGCACAAAGTTAGTCTTCATTGAGACCCATAATCTGACCCAATTTCAGATTTTCTTGAATCACTTTAGCCGTTTGATTACTCAATTTTCTAAAAATTATTCGCTGGAAAGGTGGCGGTGGACATGTTTACATATAGACATGGTCGCCAAACTTCGTATTTTAAAGTTTCAGACCTTTCTACATAATTTCCAATCAAAATTATAGAACGTAAAAATTTTACGATTGCAATGCTTTCATTCTGAAGCAAAAATTAACTTGATTGCAAAATTTTTAGGATTACTTTTACACCATTTTCTCTAAAGATTTGGAGAAAATTCTCGAAGTCCTAGAAAAATGAAACAAACTATAATTTTAAAAATTTGAAAAATGTTAACCTCAAATTCATTGGAATTTTCATGATAAATGTCAGGCATTTTCTTTCTCAAGATTGGAAATATCTTTTAGATTATAGAAGAATGCATATTAGCAATTACACTGTCCAGAATTTAGATAATTTTTCCTTGAAATTAGCTTTGTCTCTGTTTACTATCTTGTTGGAGAATTGCGGAATTTTCATAACTCTTTTGTAAAGTCCTTGCAGAACTGCAAAAAATGCCGTTGCAAAAATTGCGCTATTTCCTTTTGATTTTAATAGATTTCCTGACAAGTGCTTTCTGAAGACGCTTTTTAATCTATTTTTGTTTCCTATAAAGAAACAAAAATTGAATCTACGAATTGAAAGGAGATCCCGAGAACAGAAATCCCCAGAAATTTTCCCCTGAAATACCAAGAAATTTTACCTTAACAGCACTAGAAGTTTTTACAGCCGGTGGATTGTATTTTTTTCCAGTACTCGTACTAGAATTTTTCTAGAAAATTTCTCGCCATGCAGATATTCGTCTCAAACTGAGATTCATTGATTCAGCAATTTTCGGTTTCTAGTGTCCTCCATATAATAGTCAGTGCTCAACCCATGTAACGTTGTCATATTTACATAACACGTCATTTCAGGGCATCCGAAACCATGAATTATTCATCGCAAAAGTTTGAAGTAGTTGGTAATTTTCCTATTGAACATAGAATTTTTATTTATTGTTTTTTTCTTTCTTTGCGACTTTAAAAAAAAAATCAATTCTTCTTTTACTAGCGAAAGGGCGCTTCGTGCCCGTCACTAGGTTAATCTAATTTTATCCATTCTTATTCTTATTATATATTTTTTTCCTTTATTCACAAGTAACAACATTGAATAAAGAGGGATTCAGTAGTAAAGTGGTCAAACCACAATTTGCGCCCGTTCGCTAGTAAAGGAAAATCGGCTAGAAATGGATTCTTTTTTATGTCGGCGGGGACATTAAAACCCTTTTTTTTTTCTTCAAGCATTAAAGGGATATCAATATTTCAGCGAGAAAATGGGAATAGAAGTCCTTGTATCCCTAAGGGGAACCAATAAAGATATACATAAAATATTTTAGTGAGAACAAATTAAAAAAATGCAAATCGATATATTTTTTCGAATGATAGAAGAATACCCATAAATTCGATTTCTATCTTTGTCTTTTGGTAGAATGAATAGAATTAATGGCAAAAATTGAGAATTGGAGACTAAAATTTTTATCGGATTATTATTATGCAATCATTAACCTTGAAAAGGTTCTTTTCTCATAAGACTGTGTTATTTGGCACTTCTAGATTAACTACTATCAGCAATACTAGACTGTCCATTGAATACAAATTCGACATGAATATTTCTAATCACATTTACTTCTATTCAAATTCTAATCTTGAAACATCGAAATTTGTTCATGCAACTCTCAAAACATTTACCAAAAACCTGTTCTGCAAATCGGTTTATCTTAGACAATAGAATGTAATATTATTCGTTGCCTAATGATTGAATAACAATTTTTTCATTATTTTTTGAGTGAAAGGATGATGAGTATAACCAATAGAAGCTACCGACAATTATTAAGAAGATTTAATGAAGTAAAATGGAGTAATCCATAACGCAACCTCATGACATAATATGATTTTGGCAGAGCCGGGGAACTCCCCATAATAAATTACACACCTAGATTATTCGCAGTTGGTGAAAAAGCTGGAAAGTTCAGTCAAATGGCGGGATAAAGATGCTAGATGTTATTTTTTTTGTATCAGTGGGGCCTACTGAGAAACCCCAAGAGACTCTCAAAGGTGCCTTGCCCCGGCGGAGTAGGGGGACTAGCATATAAGACTGAATATGAAGGGGAACTGTCTTTAGTTGATAAAACCCAAAAGCAAGAGTAACTAATAACTAGTTTTAACATTTTTTTGTAGGATTAAGCATCAAAATTATGTACAGTTGAAATACAATAGTGAAAATCGCTGAACTTCCCCAATCCCAAACATTATAATATCAATTTTAGTGATAAAAAATCGGACATAAAGAATTTTATTCCACTCATTGAAAGTCATCGGATTGTGACTGAGATGATTGTCGTGGGTGTAATTATGCTCCTGGGGTTTCCCTGGAGCACAATCTGTCAAGATGTCAAAGTTGTGGAGGCGCCAAATAATCCCGGTGACAATGAGCCGGACTTCGTCACGCGTAAGGTTCATTAACTTCATTCCAAATGGTCTTTGATCCAGTAGTGAAGTTAGCAGTGGCCCCAATTGAATCTAGTTCACTTCAAGATCAATGTTTGGAGATTTTTTCTGTCTCCTTGAGATTCCAACATATTCATCAAAACTCTAGATGAACAAAGAAATGTTTTCGAGGAAATTTTTTTGGGAAATATCTCGGAAGCTGAAGGAGATGGTGAATTTCTTGGTGAAAAAAATCCTTTTGGGTAAAAAAATCCTTGCAATGAATGTTTTTATGCAAAAGTCGATATCTTCCATGGAATCTAGATTTTAAAAAATGCTGGTCCTGAAGGAAAAGTTCATTTCGATTGCGCACTTCATGTTGGATCAAGAATCATCGATGATCGCAGAAAACAGTCATTAATAATTGTTGGTATCATCAAATGCGTGTTCTGTGACGTCACTAGTGTCATTCAATAATGAAGCGTCAGTGAGTGTAAACAAGAGGAATCATTAAAAAATGAACAAGTTTCCATAAAAAAGGAAGAGCAGTTTCGCTTCTTCTCATTTTCTAATTTCGAATCACCTAAAAATACAGAAGAATTTGTTCTCCACCTAATAAGAAATATAGCTGTGGCCGGTTTATAATGGCACAAATGGCGCAACTCGTTGTGGCGTGGCGAAGGTTATGTCAGACTTTTTATTGCGTAATTTAAACGTACAACTGTCGGGTTGAGTCGGGGATCCGCTGGAGAAAGTCAGTTTAGTCGGGAGCAGTAACAAGTGTTGGGGGAGGGATACACAAGCCACTCGGTGATCAACAACTCGTGTGTAAACTAATACACTCAACTGAAACCTTTGTTTCACGTCTCACATTGATGATCGGCTTTGAGTGAAAGCGAAGAGTCGTTTGGTTTATGATTCAATGCTGAATTTTCAGAATCTTTTCTTTGGAAAATTATGAGAAAATTGCTAAATAATTTTTCCGACTTATTTAACGACTTTTTACGGGTCCTCTAAACTGTCATTGAACAGTTATGAAGAACTCATTATTCAAATGAAAATAATTTTATTCAATTGGTGATGAGGGTTGAAATAATGAAATTAATAAGGGACTTATTTCAATTGTTTATAATAACAAGAAAGTGAAAGCACTAGTTATTGCGTAAATCGCGTCCGGAAGCAGGAAAATCCCGTGCAACGGAAATCCTCGTAACAATGTTAATTTGATAATTTTCATCGTTGAAAATGGGGCAATTGTTCTTCTCTGAATTATGAGGAAGTTGTCAGGTTTACATTCATATTTTTGTGGTATTTTGCAGCTGAGTATATTCTGCCGTGCAGCCGAAGTGACCCAGCGATCGACACGTGCATACAAAAGGCTTTCAATCACTTGAAACCGTATCTTATCGAAGGTAAAGGCAGTGACAATTACAATTGGAATTATCAATTTAGTCATGTGATAAAACAGCATCAGTCAATTTTCCTTGCAGATCCATTTTTGGTTAATTCACACAAAGAAGTCGTTTATTTGAATTGATTGAAAAGGGGGGGCTACTATGAGTCTTCGAAGTCGCATGTTATTGCAGTGAGTTTTCTCATTTGTTAAAGATCGATTGTACATACATTAAAACGAAAAATCAGTGAAAAAAATTGATTAGTGATCGTTGTGTAAAATGTGCAAAATGATAACTACGGATTACTTTTCTCAATTTCGAAGTCTAACACCCACACTGTTAAAAAATTTTGTGTGAATTTTCCAGGCCAAATTCCGGAAATTTTTATCGTGTTCCAATTTCACTGAAATTTCAGGAAATCTTGTCATTGAAAATTCAGAATTTCGTGGAAAAATCAAACAGAACTGTAAATTTCCGTTCCATTTTTCCCTGAAAATGAATAGAAAACCAGAAAATTCTGGTAAATATATTCTTGAATTTTCAGTACAGTGATACTGAATGCGATTTAGGGGGAAAAAATCATGAAATTGCTGATTTCACTGAAAATTCAATACCATTTGACACTGAATATTCATATTAGATTGGAAATTGAAGTAAATTAAGGAATTCTCGTTTGTATGCCGTTTAAAATTCTGGAATTAGACTGCATTTTCAGTGAAACCTGAAATTTCATGATTCCCCCCCCC